CCTCTCTTTCTCTTTCCCTCTCTTTCTCTTTCCCTCTCTTTCTCTTTCCCTCTCTTTCTCTTTCCCTCTCTTTCTCTTTCCCTCTCTTTCTCTTTTTTCTTTTTTCTGTCTCTTCGCTCGCTCTCTCTTTCGCTCGCTCTCTGGAATAAACTATAAGTAGCTGATCCCCGACACATGCATTCACCTTGTGCACTCACAGCCTGTGCTGTGTTACACAGCCCCCCTTTTGCTTTCAGGTTGTAGCACTCACTGCTTTGCTAAACTCCTGAATCGTTAACACAAAAATCGAGTAGCCCAAAAGCAGTCAGAAAACAAGATCTCCCACAAAATAAGAGTGGGGAGCTGGGGGGTTAGTAAAACATATTTGGGGGGTACTAACTGTGGCCACTGATACAAGGGGAGCTGACGCTGCGCCCAGGTGCACTTGGATATCCTCCCACCTTGGTGCACACACGAGCACACCCCGTGGAGCAGCCCTTGTGCTCACAGGTGGTGCTCACTGCTTTGAGAGCCTCTCCTGTCTCAGAGAGCCTGGTCTTTGAGATCCGCCTTCTAAAATACTAGGGGCAGAATCCAGTGCATCCCAAAGGCACTGTAATTAGAACACTGCTGTGAAGGGTCAAGGACCASATGATGCCTCAAGGATGTTCAGAAGGGACAGCTCAAACATTTCAGCTCAATTTTGTCATTTTTCTGCTGAAGTCCACATTTTGGCTTTCTTTTTCAAATGAAAAAGCAAAATACATTATTATCTGTTGTTGGTTTAACACAAAGATGTGCACAGCACTAGGTTTTACTTATATGTAGATAAGCATGTGGTATGTGCATTGGAGATAGGTGGGAAATCTGGAATAGGGAAAATATTGATTAATGAGTTAATTCTAGCAGAGAGGTTGGGCAGAGGGGAGTATTTCTCTTAGCTCATTGGTTTCCAGAGGAGAAGGGATTGCATATGCATGGCATTTGAGTAGTAATACCAGTTAACCACAATTAATAATATATAGGGGTGTGATTGGTACATAAATGCTGTTAGCAGCAATGGGGAAAATTGTTTCATTTAGATAGCYTGCACCTGAAGGGAAACAGATGGTGAATTTAGAAAATTGCTACTTTCCATAAAATAAGGTAATGTCAGAAAAACAGAGGTGATGTAAAGGTCTGTGTGTGAATGAATGAATGAATGAATGTGTCATTGAGTAGGTGGGTTAGTGGGTATAAAGTGGCCAAGGAGAGAAGAGAAACTAATTTCTATAATAAATTATTAAATAGCCAGTCAGTTTCTTTTGGAAACTTCTGTGGTGCYAACAGTATCTTTGGATCTCGGGCAGTTGATTTCATATCAGGGTAAATGCAGTTTTTACTCTGCTATGTGGTGTCCTGTCTTCCTCACCCATATAGCTTAAACAGAATTTTGTTKAGTAAGCTTGCTTCTCACAGGGTTTAACACTGATTGCTGTTTGGTCATTTCACTTTCCTAAGCACTGTACATTCCACCTCCGTCACCTTTTCCATGACGGAACAATTTAAAATCCAATGCACTATATTTTCTCTCCCCATGTATTTTAAGCTATTGCATAGCTCCCTATGCTCTGAGTATCAAAATCATTCATTCGTGCCTGGCAGAAACTGCTGAAACAGCRACTTCTACTTCAAAAACTGTAACTTTTCCCTTCATCCATGCATATTAATATTTCTAGAACAGCACAAAAATACAGATCCATCTCAAGCCGCCTCCCCTATAAAGGTACTGTGTTTTGGCAGAGTGGCTGAAAGTTCTCTCTCCTTGTGCATTTTTATTAAATTCCTGTTCTGCCAGATCTAAAATGCGAGGCAAAATAGTCTGCTTACAGTTGGAAAGAGAAGTCTCTGGTTGCCTGCCACATGTTTTCACTAACTATTTGGGATGTACTCACATAACACACGTAAGAAAGTGTTTAATGGAGAACTAACATGAAAGGAAGGAGATCTGTTTTATTGTGAAGCAACAACTGAACTAACATTTGAAACCAAAAAGGTTTTGTGAAGGAGAAGGAAAATTGCTCACTACTTCAGGAGTTGGTTGGACTAAAGCAAATCTCTCTTCTGTTAAATACATATTTTTTCAGTGGGAGAAGCAGCCAACTTTACATAGCCTAGCTTCACATATAACAAAGCTCCATGTTAAGCTCCACGCATCACAGAAAATAGCCTTAAATTGAAGGATGGGTGCTGAAACAGGAATATGATTAGATAGGCTGGTCTAATTTCGGAAATGCTGTGTAAGGGGGTTATGTAGACTCGTTAACTTCTTTACACTTAGCTTCTTTACACTAGCACTCATTTCTGGAGGAATCTGGTTACTGCAGTGCTTGCTTCAGCCATGCTTACTTCAGTTTTCACTGGCAAATACTGCACTAACTGRTATTTCTTTCTTTAAAGGTAAAGCTGGAGTAAGTGCAAATAAATGGAGACAGAGTAAGTCTTTTGGGCCTGGTTTAAAATAAATTTCTAGATTGCTTTTCAATATTGACTTTTATCAGAAGTGGTGGTTCCATAGGCAGATTTTTTTCTGAGCAAGAAGGAAATAATCTTATCTCCTAAGACGCTATAGAGTCAGTATTTCATACTGTAGGTCAAGAATACCTTTGGARAATCTTTGCTGTGGGAGTAACAAAGCCAGGAACCTGAGTAGATAAGTGTGTGTGTTGGGCTGTTTGGACCAAGCTGAATTCAGCCCCAGCTGCACTAGAGTTGCCAAGGACGACTCATCCAAACTGAAAAGGCAATATCAGGATACTTCTGTTATGAGTTTTTTAAAGTTTCCTGTGTACTTAGCCATTTTATTTTAAGAAAGAAAAATCTTTGCTTATTAATTGGTTATCTTAATTTCTTATGAAGGAAAGAAAGAAAAACTTTGGAGGAACTTCCTTCTAACTGTTTATTTCTGGTTTTACTTGTGACACCACTAAGTGTTGAGCTCTAGGACATGTATTCTGCTTTTAAGAAGCTGAGCAGACACAAGGCATAAGATGAAACAGCCTCGAGGAGATGCCGTGGTTATCAGTTTATGGACAGTTAGCTTGTTCATCCTGACTATGCAAATTTTTAAAGGCCTCTATGAATCCCAGAGTAATCTGAGTAAGCTGTACTGTGATTTATGACCCCTTAATACCAGGATTTAGATTTTTGCCTGTCTGCCATGGGGCACCAATTTTAGTAAAGACTTAGCAGCRGAACACAGTAACTTGAGCACAGAATAATTTTGCTGCCACAGATACAGTTCAAGCTTTATAAACCTGAGCACCCTCTATATAAATATGGTAAACATTCTATATTACATATGCCATTTAATAGGAAAAAATGTAGGTAGAGGATATCTGTAGCCCACTCCTTGTAAGAAGTTGGACAAAGAATGTTTACCTTTTTTTTCCTTTTTTTTTTTTTTCCAATCTACTAATAAGTTGAAGTTGGCAAAGTTAATACAAATGCAGAACAAGTTGTCCTTGAAGTTTCCATTACCCACCAGAGTTGATGCTTAATTCCAGAAGTCTGTTTTATTTCTTTTCTGTGTTTTTAGTGAGAACTTTGCTACAAGACTTTGAAACAAAGCTGGCAAGTGTACTCTAATTGCCTCAGTAATACCCTTRTTTTTCTCTTTACGTGTATATCATCCTTTCTCTCTTCACTTTGCATTTTTGCTAACTCAAGTGATTGGCCACATGCCTGTTTGATTACTTGGGTATGTTTTATCTTTTGTTCATACTTCTTGGCCCTTACTTGAAACAGATTGAAAAACTAGTTCTTTCAGTTGACTCTCCTAAGATTTTTAACTGAAAATGCWTGGCATCTTTTACAGCAGCGTAGAGTTAAATTTCRGAATAATTCTTGAAAATGGGGTCATCATTGCAATCACTTCAGAGAAATCTTAAAATACAGTGTACTTGTATTTTGCTTATCCCATCTTCAGGGTTCTCTGGGAAAGCAAAGCTGGAGTTGCCCATTGTATTTGTAAAGTACTTGGAATATAAGGAAAACTTTGGATTTTTGGAATATAGGGAAAACTTTGGCAAGGAGAGACAGGGCTCCGTTTCAGTGGGCGTCACACAGTGACCTTGCTGCTGTTTATGCTCCTTCTGACTTGGATCCTGGAAGTGCCATAAAACACATGCTGTTGTTCACACTGAATGATACCCTACTCCTCTGTTTGGGGTGTGAGGAACCAAACATGACGAGCAAGAATAGCATGTGCCCTTATGTAAGTGCCAACTGTTGCCACTTTCAATTGCATTATCTTTATAGGCAGTGCCCCTGAGCCCTGTTCATCTCCTTGCCAGCCAATYTCCTTCAGGCACAACCTGACTCCTTGTGGTGTCTCCTGTGTGGTACCCTGGGGTCAACACAGCTGTGGAGCTATTTGCATTTATGGGCTGGCTAGGACAAGCCACTGCTTTTTTAACTACATCCCAGGGGAACTGCTCCCCTGGCTGGCATCCCAGGATGCAGCCCTCGTGGTATCTGTGAAATAAAGCATGGCCCCAGTTTCCTGGCTTGTTGTCAGCCACGGTTTAGCCTGCCCTCTCCTGACTGCTCTCAGGAGGAGGAGACCTGCTGCTGTTGACGTGTGAGCAAGGATATGGAAATCCTGAGCAGGATAAAGGAAGATGCAAAAATACATGGGAAATTATGGTCAGAGGTCAGCAGAAAAAAGGCTGGCTGCAATTCTGATAATATGGTTGAAACTCCTGCAAGTCTGTGTGTATGGATGACCCACAGACTGGGTCTGTTTGCAGCAGACTCTCAGACTTGGCCATCATCCCTGCCGCGTGTGTGTTAATTCATGCTGAGGTTTTGCTGAAGAACAAGTCAATAATGTCTCCTGTTGTGGAAGCCTGGATGCCAACTGGATTATTCCTGCCGGGGAGTAATCAGTGCTGTATTGTGGTGCAGATATAATCTGTGCCAGTTGTGCTCTGGTCATCCAAAGGCGTCCTAGCAGGCCTTAAATTTGTCCAACTAATCATTGGGATTAGCATGTGTGTTGGATGGACTCATCTCGGTGAGAGGGAGAGCTCTTGCTCCACAGCTACAGTTAYGGGACCATGCATGCAGTTCCATGGCCAGCTATTTCACCTCTGCTTTCTGAAGAGAGCTTGGCAATACCACTCTTCCTGAAAACTATTGTGGTGAATTAATGCAGTGGACATTGGGCCATAACCTACAAAAGGGCACTATAAAAGTGAAACCACAGCTTATTTCTATGCCACTAAGCTTTGGCATCAGTAGAGCTATTACTTTGTACTTGGTTTCTCTTATTTTCTTGCTTTGGATATGAGATTGCATTGATTAGTGACAGCATGGAGAATGGAGAAGCAGGATATGTTCAGAGGGGAGCTAAGTCTATAAAAYTGGTAGGTACACAGAAAATCCTTAGATCATGGGCTTGGATATTACACTTCGAGCTTTGATTTCACTGAATTTAGCAAAAGGATTGATTGCAGGATTGATCCCTTCTGTTCTGATTAAATTAAATGCCACTTAATTTATGGGAAAGAATACTGCCCTTCATGCACACCAGGAAAACAACTTGATCTAAAGAAGAAACCCTGGTGTAATAAAGGGAGCAGAATATAGTCTTGTTTAGTTTTCTTCTGGCTGCATATTATGCTTTCTTTCTGATATGGACATTTTTGTTCATACTAAATAACAACTTCCGGTTAACTAATTTTCAAGAGTTTTTTCTTCTATAAAGATTTAACTGAGGTTTATTCATGAAGGATGCTCATTGTGTTTTCTTTTCCTTCTTCCATAGTGGATTAAAATAATTCTTCTCAGCCCCATTARTTTAGTGGCAAAACTGTAAAGTAGACTTTTTCCAGTGTGTGCTAATTCTTGCTTTCTTTGATTACTGTGCTTGCACCGTGTCTTCACTGAGATGTTTCTTAGCTTCATTGCGACTTGATAATAGCAGAGAGGGAGGGAAAATTATAGTATGTTGTAGGCTTTTCCTAGAAATACTCTGTGTAAAGGCAGAAATGAAGAGAAAATGAGCTCACGGGAAATAATAACCTTACAGAGGAACTGGGGGTGCTCAAGCAGGATGTGATGGGCAGTTTGACAAGATTGACTGTGGAGGATAGAAGTAGGAAGCCAAGAAGATGCCTGTGTGTCCTGAGCACTGGCTGTGAAATGCAGCCTGTGCTGTCCTACAACAACCGCTGTTGACCCAGCGATTGGCAGGGTGGGAGAGACGTCCACCTAATTTGGCTGGGAACCGTGTAGCAGATTTCCAGTAGATTCAAGTTCTGAAAGTAACTTTCAGATTTCTTTCTTTCCTAAGATAAGCAGACAAACCACAGCCTCCCATTTCTTTAAACAACAAAACTGCCTGTCTGAAGGTTATATATCAGAGCTGACAGAAGAGTACAAGGAATTTAACTCTTCTTGGCAGGAAGATGTAACTTTTTTTTTTTTTACTTTTTACTATTTTTATGTCTTACAAAAATGTGGCACTTGTGAATCTCAGTTTTCACAACAGGATGTGCTGATTTATTAAAAATTATTCAGCCTGAAGGCAGAAAAACAACCATCTGCCCTGCAGTCTTCCAGATGCCCCGATTTAGCCACGTTCTTGAACTTATGCTAAATATAACAAGTCTGTTCATCTGTGTAACCTGGCAAATGTGGGTGAGGATGCAGTGGGAAGTAAGTGGAGCTCCTAGAAGAAGAGRCACTTTTTGTTGTTGTTGTTTTTCATTCTCTTTTTTTCTTTCTCTGTTTTTCTTCTTTAAAGCAAGAGAAGCGTTTTTGTTTGTATGTATGTATGTATGTATGTATGTTTGTTTTTAACCTTCAGACTTGGTATGTTGGGGGTTTCCAAGCTTTCAATATTTTTAAGGCATGGTGGGTGCAACCTCCAAAAGTACATTCTGCACCAAGCCACCTTTGTAGAGAAATGCCCACTTTGGCTCCATTTTGTTAGCTTAGCCTCAAAGATAAGTGTGTGGCTGTGCCTTCCAGATCTTCCTGTTTTGAGTAAGCCTCGTGGGAGCACTTTCCTGCTTGCCTTTCCCGTGTCATCTCCAGGTRCGCTCCAAGGATGGGAAGAGTTGGTGTTTTGAGCTCCAGGGGGATGGGCCTGACATGAGATGAAAGTCTCATGCTGGGACATGGAATGAGACCTCTTCTTAAAAACAATCTGGAAGCTATTGCAGAAGCTGAAGAGAGAGTAAATGGAAGTATATCSTGGTTTTTCACCTCCCCTCTCCTGGCTTGGTCTGGCTGCCATCTCACGGATGAGGAGATTGATCAAAAGACAGAGCAGCTCTGCTGGGGAAATGGACCTGCTGCTGCCAACACCGCTGGTAGGGCCCATGTGGGCGGTTGTCCCCACTGTGTCCTCTCAAGAGGATCGGGCCTGGAGCACCTGCTGCATTAACCTCAATAGTTGGGATATCTTTTGAGGTGATTTTGGAGCCTAYTGGCACCTGTCCTCCCCCTCAGCTGCTAAGGCGTTTCTGTCTGCAGATCCCTGGGGCTTCTTCTTTAACGGAAGAARTGAGGCTGAGGAAGCAACCACCCATTTTTGCCTTGCAGCACTTTGAAATAGAGATACATTATGCTTGGGTCATACAGATACACCACTGTTTACCAAGGGGAGTGAAGGATGGCGTGAAAATTATGTCCCTGTAACTGTGTATTCAAGGTTAGGGGATCTGTATGTGTGCAATAGTAGTGGAGGTTGTTCCTGTCTTCAGTGGGTGCAATGAATTTCCWTATATATAGTGATATGAAGGAGCTGCGTACAAGGGGAAAAAAAAAACCTGCTCACTAAAACCAGCCAACAGTTTGTTCAGTCGGCTCTCTTTTACTTCTCTTGTCCAGATTTTGATTACTGTTGACTCTTTGGACAACAAATGTGAGGAGATASATTTGCACACAGGAGTTTGTTTTTAGCACCAAATTCCTCATGCTTTTGTAGGGAACTGCTTTTTGATTACTTTCATTTTTATGTGCTGTGGAAATAACAACACAAATGTCATTGATCAACAACRTTTATATAGCTTTTCATTTCTTAGATGTAATTGTGCTATAAACTCCAGTGCAGGTATCTCAGAATAGACCAGCTCTTCAACCTCTGTGATACTGTACAAAAAGTTTGGTCAGTGAATTGAAATCCTTCAGTCTTCTGTGGCAACAATATATCTGGGAAAGGGTTTTTCTTCAGCAATAGAGAAAACAGGTGTCATTGCTGTTTCCCTTTCAGTACTGGGACTCAATAGATCTGATACTTCGAGTGCTGTCCTTGGAAATGCAGCACTGAATTTGGCAGGTGCCCCTAGCAGAAAGTTTGGAAGTCTCCTGTGGGCTGGAATAGCATGAATGGCACGTGAATGGCATGAGCGAATTCCCTAGCACCTCGTTCTGTCAACACTATATCCCTGTCCAGAGTATAGTTTTGCTTTTTACCTGTTATTCTTTCCATCAGCACATTCGGTGTCTGAAATAATTCTTACAAAACCACCTCTTACCTCTCTTTCAGACTACCCTGGCACATATCATAGCCAGCAGCAGCAGAAAGAACGGCACGAGGTTTGTGACACTCTCAGCCACCAGTGCCAAAACAAATGATGTTCGAGATGTCATCAGCCAAGCCCAAAATGAAAAAAGACTGTTCAAGAGAAAAACCATCCTCTTTATTGACGAGATCCACCGTTTCAATAAAGCTCAGCAGGTACTGTACTACATCCCTTTTTGGGAAAATCCTTGGTCAGCATTTCCTGTACAACTCACCCCTTCTCCTTGTAAGCAACATCATAGCTTACTTTGGACTTCTGATAGTAACATTAATGTTTCTGGTAGCTCAGTTCGGGAGAAACTTAGAAATTAAATTCCATAAATAACTTTGTGGCACCAGTGTATAATTATTCAAATATCAAAGGAAAAGGCTGAGGTATGTATAGGAAGACTTACATACAGGTCTTTATATAAGGTTTTGCTGAAATTTTACTTCTCCAGAGTTGCCTTAGCAATGCCTCCCATAACTATCTTCATTTTGGCCTCTAATCTGTGGTTAGCTTTCTGCATTCCCATTAATCAGAAGTTTGGAATGTAGAGGGGCTTAGAGATTTTGTTTGTTTGTTTGTTTGTTTGTTTGAATGTTACCTCCTTATCTCGGCTGGCGAAGGGAAAAAGAAAGCATGTCATGGTACTTCGGGATAACACATTGCTGCAGCCATCAAGCGGATGTTTTCTCCTTTTCTAGGTATTATTTTCTTTAGTCACAGCTTGAAAAGTTTCAGTTCTGTAGTACAGGTGACAGTTTTATTGAATTCTATGCAACCGTATCCCAATCTTCCCTTAATTTCCTGAAGCATCCTATAGAACTACAATKAGAATTGTAGCCCTAAATCTTGGTTTAAAGAGGAGTTAAAAAATAGCTTCAGCATTTGGAAGGTAAGATTTATAAGATGTTTTTCCTGGTATGTCTTGCTTGCTAAACAACAAAACAGTCACATGAATAAGCTAGAAATCTGCAGTTTTTTAGCACTGTTTCTTTTCAACAGGTAGGATTATTCCTGGTGCAAGCCTGGGTTATTAAGGTGAACAGCCGTAATGTGCTGCATGCATGAAATTAAAWCATTTAGCTGAGCAGATGAGCTGTCTTGTCAGTGAGGTTATTTTTCATATCAACAGGAAACCCAAAGACAAACAACACATGAAAAATGTATTAGGAAAATGCCAGATAGCCTACTCACATGGGATGTTTCAGGTTATCATCGATTGAGATCAGCTTCTTCTGCTTCCCTCCCATATTCAGGACACTTTCCTTCCTCACGTCGAATGTGGAACAGTGACGCTGATCGGAGCAACCACAGAAAACCCTTCCTTCCAAGTGAATTCTGCCCTTCTGAGCCGGTGCCGGGTTATTGTCCTGGAGAAGCTCTCGGTGGAGGCGATGGAAGTGATCCTGATGCGGGCAGTGAGGTCCTTAGGGATCCGGGTTTTGGGCCAAGGCGAACAGCACAGCAGCTCCGCGACTGGCAGCCCCAGCGAGGGCTCAGAGTGAGTATGGACTTGATGGGCTGCAGCAGCGTGTCAATGCGCACAGCCCCAGGGATTGACTGCCTGCCAGGGAGAGAATGGAGCTGGGGGTGGGAAGAGAAACCCTAGCCACCTCTGATAGTAAAGAAAAGAAGTGGCAGCATGTGGTGGGGAGGGCGAGAGCCCAAAGCCTTGGCTCCACATCCAAAAAATAATCTTACCGGCTGGATTAGTAGCGAGTTTTATACTTGGATCTGCAGCTCGTGACTCACCCCCCAGGATATTTAAATCCATTCTGCTGCTGAGGATTTGCTGTGGAAGCCTGTAACTGGGTCCTTGTCATGTCCTAATGTGCATTTCTTTTTCTTACTGGGTGTAAAAAGCTCATGTTACAATTAAGTGGTGGATGGGGCATTCCCTATGAATTGCTTTGGAAGCATCTGGCAAAGGTTATTATTTACTAAATCCTGTTTTTTTATTATTATTTATTCTTTATTTAATGAGAGCATAAATAAACTTCAGAAGTAAGTGGTATGGTATCTTTTATAGTATGCTTAGGATGGTGCGAAGTGGGTTTGTTTGCAAGAAGTTAATAGTGTAGTTTTAGGTAGTTTTTGGTTTTCTCCATTTCTCCTCGTGCAAACTAAATGCAGAGTTTTTGAAGAAAAATGAAGTCCTGATTTGTCCTGAAGGAAAGATACCTCACTTGTGAAGGAAAGATACCTCACTTAGCTAGCAAGCTAATAAAGATAATATATAATGTTGTGCTGCTCTGATGCAAGTTACAATTACAGTTCCTTCATTCTGGGGCTTGCACACACTACTTACAATTTGGTTCATTGCCATGATGATAATTAGGCTGGCATTGCTTATGAAATAAATAAAAGGTGGCCCTAGGCAGCGCACTTCACCCTTTAGCTTTATTGCAGCTTTATGAGTACCCAGACACCCTAGCCAGGATATGGAGGCCAGGGCAGGGAATGGAAGCTATTGCCTCCCCACCTCCTTCCCCCTGTTTTTTGGGGGAATCCCCCATCTCCTTCCCCCTGTTTTTTGGGGTGTATCGTGCCTCATATTGCAGCAGTACACATAGCTTTCAGTCCTGGCAGCGATGGGAATGGCCGGGGAGGGGGCGCCCTGTGTTAGTGTCAGCATTCATGTGGCGGCGCAGCTGTGGCGGCGGCCGCGCCCCGCCCGGCCCGGCCCGGCCCGGCCGTTATGTGGGGGTCAGAGCTCAGGGCTTAGCCTCAGCTGCGCTTGCTTGGGCTTGGGTTTCGCAGCCCCCCGTGTCGGCAGCCTCGCCTTAGCGAGGGTGATGCGAGCGGCGTGATGTGCTCAAGCTGCGGGGCCTGGCAGGCAGAGCGCCCCTGCGGAAATCCCTCCATGCAGAGGGGGAGCCCCACATCGGTGCCTAACACACAGCCAAACAAAAAGAATAACCCCCMAAAACCCCAAACTGTTACTGTTTTGTAAAACAAAAACAGAATTAAGGGTTTAAGAGTGCCTGCTGCAACTGTGTGTTTAGTCTTCCTTGTGCTTCCCTCTCTGGTTCTGATTTATAGTCGATTCATGGCTCTTGGTGCTAGGTTTCCTTTTTTTAGCCATCCTGCCCTTAACCRGTGTTTTAGTTTTTGGTCTCTTGATTGTTTGTTCCTGTTTGATACCATTCCTGATCTTCTGTTTCTTCTATGCCTCCTGTTCTGCAGGAGCAGCTGTGCTTCATTTTTTCCCTCTTACCTTCTTGCCTCTGTCAAAAAGAAGCGGTATTAACTGTAGGCAGGTAAAGGTCCTAAGAACTAACTTTAAGACGTATGTCAGCAGTCACTACTGTTAAATTGGTCACCTTCATTACAGAGTTGGAAACAGAGCTGTAAGACAGTATATTCATGGATGTGGGACATGACCATGTTGGAAGTGATGTGGAGAGCTAGCCAGAAGACACAAGCGATGTGTGTATTGAATTAAAGTTTCCTTTCCTTAAAGAATGAGTCTCCCTCTTCAAACCTTGAAGTTCTGCATGTGCTGCTTGGCCTCACACGATCTCAGCTGGTGCTCTCTTCTCTTTAGACAAATGCTACCTCACTAACAGCAGATTGTTCCTGCCGTATACCAATATGCTACACTTGTACGGTGTCATTGATAGAGGAAACCATATACTTTTTTTTTTATTCTTGATTTTTGCTTTTTTCATGTTAATGCTGCCCTCAGAATAGTATTTCTAATTGAAGTCAGATGGTAGGCTGGATATTGGATTAATGCATTCGGAGTTAGATAGCGGCTGAGTTAAATGAAGGATTCCCAATTTCGCGTTAGAAGGACTATTTATCATGGAAGTCAACTTGTAACTAACTGTGTGACAAGTACTACAGGGTTTTGAATTCACTCTTTTGGGAATCACAGGGTTTAACATTGGCCTTTTGGTGTTGAGTGTTGGGTGCCATTTTAGAAAATGTTTCCCTTCTTACTGCAACATCCATCCAATTTCCTTGCTGGGTCTAGAGTTGCTGGGATGAGAGGACATGTTCAGTAGCAGTGCTGTAAGGCAGTAGACTCTCCTACATCCCATCCTACACTATTTCATATGAAGACATACACTTGCCTGTAAGCTGTTGCACTCTGTCAAGAGGTGAATCTATTGAGAAAAAAATGCACTGAGAATGCAAGAAATCATGAATTTGTATGTGAAAGAAGGAGCTGACTGCTTTATATTGTGTTCTGCCCAATTCTGAACTTTCCATCGTAAAGATTCTGCTTGCTTGGACTTTATTATATCTTCTGTGTGGTGCTGCTTACACTGTCTTGTCATTGGATCAAACTAAGTGCTTTTATGGTAGTTCATGCTCTGCTTTACGTTATTATTTGGCACAAGCTCTCTTGAGGATGGAGAGGTAAGGAGGAGTGGGGAGGATTTGTTACCCTATTCTGGTTGTTTTCCACTGCTTTAGTTAGTATATTATCTTCAGCTCAGTGAATGATAGATTCGGAGGCATCCCTACATGGTTGTTTATATTTTTGTCTCGTAAGTCTCATCAGTTAAAAGGTACCAGCATTAAGTCTTGGCATCCAGTGTGTGTTGTGTGTTAAATTTGGAGAGTGGTAAAAATACGAGATGGTCCATATGCAAGATGATCGGGAGCTTGTAAGTAGGTCAGAAAGTGTGGGAGCCATTCTGACCTGCAGATTCACACTGTGTGGAAGTCAGGATGAAGTGAAAGAATGAGGCCAAGATTGGGCTAAAAATGTAAAATACAGTGGATTTTGGAGGCTTTTTCAATTTTTTGACTCTCCTCAATGTATAGGGCTAGTGACTTGCTTYTGTGCGGCAGTTTTTTCATTTATTCTTGTCCTGTATGGGATGCTAGGTGTGGATTAGATCAACCTAATGTAAAATACATTATTTGGAATGGGATCTCCATTATCTATATGTTGTAATTTGCATTTYGTCATGGAATATTTTCAGTACTTCCTTGTGGGTTTTTGGTTTAATTTATTCAATACAAATTGTTTGTGTTGGTTCAATGAAGCACTTGCAGGGTCTCTGAAGAGACAGAAATATAATTCGGTTTTCTTGAGCTGATTTTTATGRAATAGGTTAGGTGTATCTCTTTGTAGAGGTTTCTCTCTATTTAGACTTGCACAGTGAGCATTTAGTATGACAGGAATAGCGAGACAAGTTACCAGCAGCTAAATTTGCCATTCGAACTGGTGTGGGGTAAGGGGGAGTTTAGAGCTTCTCATGTACCTGGATTTGCAGAGCAGCTTGCAGCTGTTGTGCTCTTAACAAAGACATTTTTCACAGCCTCATAAAGAGGCAGGCCAGATATTGAAGATTAGTGGAGTTATGCATCTGGGAGCCTTGGCGTGGCTTCTGTGTGTACCACTGGTAACAGCAGTAATAAATCTTGCCAGTGAATGAAGTGCAGCAGTGTGGGTGAATTCCCAATTATTTGGTGCTCTGTAAGAAACTACCTCCCTCTCCAAGCTCTGTGCATTAATCCCCAGCTCATATATGTCACTATTGATTTTATGTCCCATTACTGGAAATGGTGTAGTTAKGGCCATTACTTTTTATGACACATCAGCTCCACCAGCTTCTGTTTTTAAAGCAAATCATTGTATCCTTGATGCCAAGCACCTTACCCATTAGCTTGGCCATATGATTAAAGTCTGAGGGTCAAATCCTCAGCGCTGTGTATAGGGCTTGTGAAGAGCAGMATCACCTTTGCTTGTGCAGTGAAGCCTGCAGCCCAGGCACTGAAAACCTGGAGAAGGAGCTGGAGAACTTGCATTATCTTCTCAGCTTTGCTGTAAACCTGCTATGAAATCTCAACAAATCTTTCACCTTTTGCTGTATCTCTCAGCTCAGACCGTCTTGTTCATTTATAGTGAGGGTTCACAGAAGTTTGGCCTTTATGTTATGATGGTTTTGGATGGTACTGACACACTAGATGGTAAGAGAGTGATTTCCATGCACTGGGATACCCTTTTTTTGTACTCCAGTATTATTTCTTGTATTAGGTGACTAAGTCTTAACAGCTGTTACCGTTTCCAAAAAGTACAATACAATGTAAACAAGACTTTAAACTGTTTTGTGAAGACTCCCTCTGGCAGTGGCAGTTAAAGATCAGATGTTAATTGCTTTGTACCTCCCTGTATTCCCTCATGCATTTGGATAGCTTCCTACCTTTTCATTGTCCTTTAGCCAAGGAATTTTAAGTGCTAGCCATGAAATGCTGGCAAAGTAAAACCTTTTAATGTTCAACTAACTGTGCCAGAGTTGGGATTTAGGTAAAAGCCTAACTCAGATTCCACTGAAYTTAATGAGACTGGGCAATCTCAAGGAAAAACAAGGAAGTAGGTAAGTAGATGAGAGCTCTTGCTGCACCTTTTACATGTGCCATGATACTTAACATGCGTTGGGAGGAGAGGGAATCACATAGTGTTCTCCAAGTCTCTTCAGTACTGAAAAATGAGAGCATGAGTTAAGCACAAAGCTTAAACCAAGCTGCCTCTCGCCAGGCTGTGTAAAGAAATGTAACCTCCAGCACAATCTGCCACAGTGAAAGGAGAGTGATGTGGGATAAATCTGAGGCTTTATTCTCTTGCAGATTCCCTGTGTACATAGAGGAGAAAGCCCTAAGCACCCTGGCCTACCTCTGTGATGGTGATGCGAGGACTGGATTGAATGGCCTTCAGTTAGCAGTGCAAGCCAGATTAGCAGCAGGGGTTGCCACAGGTTCTTCTACAGATGGAGCTCTGATAACAGAAGAGCACGTGAAGGAAGGACTGCAACGGTCTCATATCCTCTATGACCGAGCAGGTGAGTACCTGACAGCAGATACCGGGCCACAGGATGGGAGCTGGGGAAGTAATTTAATTCTGCACAGGTACTTTTTTTTTCCTTCTCCAGTTGTTGTTCAAACAATGGTCTTGAAAAATGCCTTTTTAACTGAGAAGAAAGCTGTGGATTTTATGTCATTGTATCAGTTCATGTATATGCACAAAAACCCATGTGGAATTTCCTGTCTGTATCTAATCAAATATGATCTGTTGCTTTTCTTCCTCAGCATCAAGCCTGCAAGCTTGTCTTGARCTGAGGGTCAAGATGGGTTCCCTCAGTTTAACCTTTCTTTCATGTACAGTGTTATCAGACTTCAGCTTCACTTCCAGACATACAACATTTTGAAGTACTTAAAAATTTTATTTCCTTTCTCTTTTTCATACCAGTTGTGATGAAACAGTGGTTGTAATAAAATACTGGCCCAAAAATGACTTTCCTTTTACAGGACAGCAGTGGTTCTCAAACTATTAGTTTGTAGCTCTGTATAAGGTTCCTGCCTTAGCTGTGTCTGCCCGGTAGCTTCCAGGCTGTTGGTTCCATGGCAGGACAGCCAGGGTAGATACCAAGGAGTTTGATCCAAAATTTCCTTCCAAGCAGGGCTCACCACTTAGGAAGTGCAGGTTCACCAGCAGAAGCCTGCATAATGAACCTGTTTGTTCTTTAAGGTCATTAGAGTATTAAGACCTGAGGGATTGCATGGGAAGGAAGAAGAGGTATTCCGGAGCGGAGGAGGTTTATTTTTGGAGAGTTGGAAATCTTCCATTGCACTGCTGTTCCTTTGAAAGTCTTGGAAGTGCTCACATTCACACTATCTTGCTTGAAAACCTGAGTAGTTTGCTTTATTTTTAGAGATGCTTTTTAAGGCAAAGAATTTTGTAGCTTGCTTAGGGCAGGTCACATCTAAATGCATTTAAGGATTCCCAATGTGATACCAACTCTTAATAAATTTGTGACTTGGCAATATAGGCATTACAGAGTTGCCCACTGGAGCTTTTTAAGTGATAGAGTTAAAAAATAGGAATTGAACATTAGGGATTAGGAGAGTCCATTTAAATGTATTTGCAAGTTTTTCAGCAGTATTTGCATCACTGTGTGTATTAGGATCCAATGATTAGGCCAAACAGTGTTTGGATTCATCTTTTATTTTTTGGTGTGTGTGATATGATTGATTAACTACCACTACTCAAAACCTGAGACATTTCTAGGGTTATTCATAACATACATGTATGCTTCTTTTCCTGCTATGGAGAGAAAAAGAAGGCTCATGGTTAGGAAACAGTCAGCTAGGCACATGCTGATGTGGTGGCTGATATGGGGAGCAGAGGGCAAGCCAAGGGGAAGGAGGAGAAGAAACCTATGGGCTCTGTGACAGGAAGAAATCAGGATTAGGGATGTGGAAGGGGAAAACCTGGCCAGTTTGCTGTGTGTGACCTGCTTATGCCTTGCAGGCACCTTGTGGGTGCCTCTGTAGGGAGCTGTCACACAAGTCGGCTCCCTTGTGAGTTTGCTGGCGCCTTGTGGTGGCTGACGTGTAGGGCTGTGCTTCTGTGGCCAATGCACCCCGGGCTCCTCTGCCCGTTGCCGCTGTTGGAGGCATCGCAGAGCACAGCGTGCCGCTTCCCGAGGCTTGCATCCAGTCTGGGGAGCCCTTCTGCCCCTTCGTTGTGTCAGAAATCCTTTGAGCTTTGGATAGGGTTTTGTTTTGTCAAACTTTTTCAGAGGTGGGTGCTAGAGGGAAGAGCTCTGTTTTCCTTGATGCTGTGARTACCAAAGAGCCTGTGTTAAATACTCTCACAGCAGCAGGCTGCCTGCATACCTCACTTTACAAAATGTCTTGGATCTGCAGAGAAGCCTGCGTCCAAATTCACCGCTTCTGTCCACATGTGAGACGGCTAGTGGTGCTTCATGTATTAAGTGCTTCCGGATGGAGGCTACTGTGTAAATAAAAATATTTTGTAGCATGTTTTATCCATGTCTTTCAGAGCAACAGTTCCTTGTGATGGAATCTAGTCTTCCAATAAAGTGGTTCACCCTCACAAAATGATAGGATGTGAGGCTGTCAAATTATGATAGTGCTTTTGAATGCAGCAGGTTCACCTGGATAGCACCAGATAAGCGGTGTTCAGTCAGAGCTGTGTAAATATAAAAYCCTGATTTCACTTTGTTGTTTATTTCCTTTTTGTCAAAGGTTATGTAGTTGGGCTTTCTTTTGTGAACATTTACCAGGTTGCGTAGGAGGAAAGTTATTTGTGCAATCCACTCATCAGACTGTTGTGCTGATGGGTGTGCGCGTGAATAAAGACAAGGTCTTTGTACAGATCCGCTGTGTGTTTTATCCAGTAGACAGAGAATTAGCTTTAGTGAGACTGCACCACCAGCAGCAACCTGCAGCCCTCACAGTGTCAGTGAAAATTAGTACTTTAGTTGCACTTTAACTTTCAGTTGCATTTCCATTTTTGTTGCGATTTTCAGAGAAAAGGATGCAGTGACTGAATTCAATTAATGCTAAAAGACAGACAAAAGATTGGCCAATCCTTTAGACATGAAACAGATGGACAATGGATTTCTAAGACAGAGCTGTATTGTCTCCTTCTCTTCTTACATATGGTGGCTTAACGTTTATGCTTAGTAGCAAATAGCAAAGATAAATATCAGAGTAATTGCAGGATTTTATCTCATTATTTGTGTGGTATTGTAGCTTTGGCTGTGATAAAGACTGAATATATTAACCTGAATAGCGAATTAGTACTTTGCAAGCTGGAAGATCTTCCTTCATCTTGCACATMTAAGGGAAGAAAGCGTATCTCATTTCAGAGTGTTTATACGTCAGCCTCACTGTTTTCTGCTGAGACATTTTTCACATGTGCTGTTGTTGCTCTTCCAGGGCTTTCCTCTAGTTTTTATCTAAGAGCAATTGTTGTTTACCCTTGGCCAAGATAGGCAGGAAGTAATGGGAGATGGGGACTGTTGTTTTATTTTTGCCTATTGCTTAAGAATTCCAGACATTAATTACAGTCAGTGAATGGAACCTTTTCCTTGTCTGTTACAAATAAAGCTTTAGATAAATTACTATCTCCTTAGATAAATAATCAAGGAAACTCTTCGTTCAGAGATTTAGGGACACAAAACTGAGATTTATGTGTTACTGTCCATTACACRCCATCTAATTTCTTAGACACTATTTTATTTCTCTTAGGAAAGGTATTTGCCTTTGTGTGAACCTCATRGAACAAATGCATTTTGATTCCAGATACTCTTCAAAGTTTTGATTCAGGAGGCATCCACGATGCAGAACAGCAGTGACAGATCAGTTTGTATGTGCCTGTCTTCTGACTTCTTAAGGTCAAAATCTATACCCAGGCTAGCCAGTCTGAGAGTTAATAATCAAAGGTCTAAAAGAAGAGTTGTCCATTTTGTCTGACTGAAAAAATATCAAAGTCATGTATTTAAAAGCTATTTCTTGGATGCATATAGTTGTCTTTTTTTTTTTTTTTTTTCCTGTAATTGAAACTGCATGTTAAGTACAATTCCACAGTTTCACTGAAGACCAAGTCTGGTATCTAAGTACTGTTATTGTAAAGATGACTCAGTCACCCACACTAACTTTGTGAGGAGGRAAAAGAAGGGAGAAAATTACTCTCTAAGCCTCCAAGTACTCTAGAGATTCTCTCTGTAAATGCTCTAAAGATACGTACTCTAGACCTAGCGTACCTGCTAGCTTCCTTCCGCCGCTCCAGCTATTTTCAAGTGTGAATGTTCCGGCATGACATGACAACAGTGACGTGCTCCAGGAGCCCCAAGGGTGCATGAAAGCACTTCAGCAAGAGAAAGAGATGTTCAAGTGCAACCTGTCGAGCTATTTGAAGGCCACGGCCTTTGCTTTTAAGAGACCAAGCGACGCCTCTTTCCAAGAGGACGATGCGAGTTCAGCTGCTGGGCTTTGTTGCTCCGAAGCCAGGCGTTCTGATGGAGCCCAGACAGGCTGTTTATGCTGGCGGGGTAATGTCTGCATGCCACAGAGCTCTTTGTGTGTGGAGTTCAATTAAAAATAGCTGTCTGCAGCTATTCCAGAAGGCCACACTCGGAATTCCCCACTGGATCCTACTGCAGTGTTATCCGTAACACAGGAGGATGGGACCAGTTTCTGAAGTGGAGAGTGGAAATCTCACTGACTTGCAAAGGAGCAGTTTGGGGGCTTTGGTTTTCCAGCTCACGTGCATTTTTATTTTGTAGGGCCTCCGAATGACAGTAGCGTGGTCTGATGTAGCCCAGAGGCTGGAAATCCTTTTGACCGTAGGAGGAAGGGAAGTGAAACAGATGGTTGTGAATGCAGCCAKTTGCCCTTATAATACATAGTTAGCAGTGAGCCAAGGAATGCCAAGCACTTTATAAAAATTAAAAAAAAAAAAAAACAGATTATGTGAAAAGCTGAAAAAAAGTATGTAAGCAAAGCACTCTGACAAGTTTGGTTAAAAGAAACTTGTAGCCACCAGCATGGAGAAAATTTGCAAGTAGTAAGGGACTCGTTCAGTGTTCTTCATTTTGCCCCTCTGTTTTTTGGCTTTAAACCTAAAAGATCMGTGTAGTGACTTCTGTGTAGTGACTGTAGTGTTTCCTCTGAGCCTTTATTTAATCTTATATTAAAGCTTGATGTTAAAAAATGCCTTTGTAAATTATTTGTTCTTCTGATGCTTATATTTAGCAGTCTTGCAAAGCAGGTGGTTTGGAGGGGGGGTTGGTGTTTTTTTGCTTTTTCGGGTGGGGAGGAGGGGGTTCCATTGTTTGTTTTGAGCTTGTAACAGTTTGAAGTGCCCTTCCAGCAGTGGAGCAGCCACAGCAGAACTCACCATTTCATAGGAGCTTGCAGTGGTTGTACAGTGTGATTTTATTTCCTCCAGAATGAATAATATCCCATCCCTGTAAATATATTGCAAAGTTTTTTCTCTTTTTCCTCATACAACACAGCAAACTTGTGCTGGGTATTCTTCACCATAGCAGTGGTCATCAGTGTGGTAGATCTGTTCACTATTTTGTTATGCAGCAGTGCTTCCCGACAAGTTTATATGTATGCATAACTTGTTATTTGTCAGTTAAAAATATTTATATAAGGTCTCCTTCCTAACTGCTTAAAATGTCAGTATTTTTCTTTAAAGAAAGGTCACTAGGGTATCAAAAAAGCACATTTTTTTTTTGCCTTGTAGCATTAAAAAAAMCATTCCTTTTCATCTTCTGGTGATCTTTTATGCTTATATATTTAGTGGAATGATCCACATGGCAAATTATGAAGCTATTGAAGTTACTCATGAACACTGTGATCATTATGCATGAAAGCAAGTTGAAATACTTTGTTTGTTATGTTTATTTACTATGAACCAGCAAAATACGTTTTCTGCATTTAAACGTTTTTTACTGTGTATGCCCATTCCCGCCCTTTCTGAAACAGGAGAGGAACATTACAACTGCATCTCTGCCCTGCACAAGTCTATGAGAGGTTCAGATGAAAACGCTTCTCTTTACTGGCTTGCCCGAATGCTTGAAGGTGGTGAGGATCCACTCTATGTGGCAAGGAGGCTGGTGAGATTTGCAAGTGAAGATATTGGTAGGTATATGCAGTCATTCATGATGGAATATTATGATGAATTAAGATCTGCCTCAAGTTTCTGCTTTGCAGAGACTGGTGTTTAAAAAGTCTTTTGGAGAGACTGGTGTTTAAAAAGTTTAAAAAGAGTACAAGAAAAACAAAATACTGACATGTAGCACCTACCCTGCCTTGCAGTTTTCAGACTCAATAGTTACCTAATTGTAAAGCATCTCAGTTGACTTATCTAAACAAATAGATGCAATATTTTTAGTGAGGATAATAACCTCTGAAGATCTGGGAAAACTAGGTCTACATGATAGTATTTCCCCTTCCAGAAAAAAAAAGASTATCAACCCACCTGCTTTTATTCAGGCAGCCACCATGTGACAACACATTCAGCCTGTAGATCATACCTGTCTTTCAAACTTGTCTTTTGGTGGGGGGACAGAAGGGAGAAGGTTGCAGATGAAGGGAATGCATCTTAGGCACTGCAGAGTATCATACCTGAAGTTTCAGCATCTGAAAAACCTACTTTAAAATGTGCATGGGTAACCTTGCATCTTATGGGGGGGGAAAAAAGTTAAATGTTGACTAAACCAAACTGATTTTAATTTGCTCTTGTGTAATCCATTTATGCAGGACTGGCAGATCCTTTGGCTTTAACTCAAGCAGTTGCTGCTTATCAAGGTTGTCACTTTATTGGCATGCCAGAATGTGAGGTAASGGCTTCATTCATTCACTGATTTGAGAGCAGTTCTGTTAATTGCAAAATGTAATTGTGATCATAACAAGAAACAGATTGCAAAGAAAGTGAATTTAATTATTTATCCATTCAGTGCACCATTTCACTGACTACTAAGCAGAATACTATTGCTCTTGAAATAGATGTTGTGGTTTAAAATGTAATTCACTGCATATTTGCTGTTAATTTGACATTTTTACTTCGTGTTGTTCTCCTAGTCTTGTCTTCATTGTGTTATAATTAATATTGTATATTCACATGTTCTAAATTAGCCATTCTTCTCTAAGAACCAAAATCATAAACTGTGTTGATGTTAACTCGTAATACTCATGCTTTAGTATCAGATGGAAGTCAATTAAAAACATCGGCCCAGTCACACTGTCCTGTACAAACAATTTGGACAGCAGCCCCTTTCCCAGAGAGCTTGAAAGACATCATTTGACACTGTTTTCTTGTTTGCAGGTCATTCTAGCACAATGTGTGGTCTATTTTGCCAGAGCACCSAAGTCCATAGAGGTGTACAGGGCATACAGCAATGTCAAAGAATGCCTGCGGATGCACACGGGYCCCCTCCCGCCTGTTCCCCTGCACCTGAGAAACGCCCCCACAAGGCTCATGAAGAACTTGGGCTATGGGAAGGGCTATAAATACAACCCCATGTACAAGGAACCCGTAGAGCAGGACTATCTGCCAGAGGAGCTGAAAGGAGTGAACTTCTTCAAGGAACAAAAAACATGATAGCCTTGGTCTGAGTGCTGCTTCATTTTTGATGCTTGTTTGTACTGAGATGAAAATTCACCTTCTGTATCAGCCGTGGATCTCTGGGGTTGAAAGTACTAAACCGCTGAGCCTTTGAGACCCTGTGTTGTCCTTTTGGTTGTACTACTGCTGCTGTCAACTGTTTTATAAATAATTCCAGCTATGCAATGCAGAAATGCTGAAGTCAGCTTTATCAACGTAGTAGTGTCGGCCACCCTCTAGTTCAGATAAACTGGAGAAAATATATACGTGGCTTTTATTTCTGGCTTTTCCTATGAGACAAGGATTACTGTCTTCTTTCCTTTTTAAATCAGTATCTATTTCAGATTTTGAGAATATCTGCTTTCAAAAAAAAAAAAAAAAAACAGATTACTTGTTTATATGATGCTCCACAGACTAATTTTGTACAACAACATTTATTAAACCAATAAAGTTGTTGAAAGCAGTGTCTACTCATTTGCTTAAAAATTCTTAAAACAGCAGTATGGTTAGGGAAGTTTGAGGTTCTTTTAATTTTATCAACCCTACTTTCCAGAACAAGCTTAAATGATTTTGGAAGTAGAACAGCCATGAAAACAGGTGAATTATTTTGGTTTTTGAATTTCTGCCACTTAAAATTGTTGTCGTATGATGACAGTTAGGGAAGTACTTTTGGTAAAGAGACTCTCATTAGCAAAATACTCTCCAGATATTTCCAGTTGCAACTGCAATTCCATTCGCTTTGAATTGGAAAGCTGAGAGGCATGAACTGCCTTCCGGCTGTCGTAAGAGAGAATTTGGCTTCCTCTCCCTACTGAAAACATATCTACATCYAGGATTGCTGTTGATTAAACATTTCAATGGGTGAAACATATGGCCATAGCAGTGGCTGTAATGTCAACAACATTCCTTCATTTAAATGCTAATTCCTCCGAGCTACTCTTTAATCTTAGTTCTAAGTGTGCAGTGTTTTGGTGTGTTGAAAAGCTTGCGACTGCTAAAGCAGCATATGACTCTGCTGTTCAGTAATTGAGTAGCAGAAAACATGTTCATTTAGACCTACAACTGATCATTACCTAACAAAAGATAGCAGTACTGAGATGCTGAGTAGCCACAGGGGCAAGTGTCCACATTTGTCAAAGTGTGATGGAATAATCTGATCAGGGTACGTGCCTCTCCTTGGCTGAGAACTGCCACCTGCACAATAGCACCATGCAGTTACAGACAGATTTGCTGAGTAATTACTCAGGAGTTACTTGCTAAATATCYCATGTACCTATACTAGCTACCTGCCAGTTGTCAAGGCTTCCTATCCTGATCTCCCTTATTTATGAAGTGTGAGGATATCAAATGTTCACGTGCTCTATGGATCTTACAATATCTGATCCCCTTTTGCTGTTCAACTGACAGCTCCATGTCCACACAAAAGAAAGTGGAGGGAGGCCTGAGAAGCTCCATAAATGCATGAGAAGGTCAACARTCATGTTGCTGAACTTCCTCCATAAGGACCACTTGCCACACATTTTGCTTATAATATTGAGACATCTCACTTTTTAAAATGTATTACATCTTATTTCATGTTTGTGGTATATCATACATTTAAAAAAGTAGTACTGTACCTAACTCAATTTGTAAATAAGGATTTCCTTACTTTTGGCAAAGAAAGAAAACTTACTTGGTTTGGAGAGGTATTTGCAGCTTTTGATGCTGGAGTTTTAATGCTGTAGGTGTGATAAAACCCAATCACTTGGTATACTGGTCAACCACCTGGCATACACGAATTGTAAAGGATATTTCTTGATGGTTGAGGTGTTTGGTGCTGTGTGGCACTTAGATCAGAAGGGCTGTACAAGGTCATTTCTGAAGTATRGTCAGTGTAACTTTTACAGACCAAAAGAGATACAAGGGTATGCTCCCTGTCAGGAAGCTAATTGTAATTTTCTAGAAGTAGCTTGACTTTTCTCATGTTTCAAGACACTTTGTTTGACCTTCACTTAGATCAAAGCTTTTCAATGTATAATCTAAATCTTCGTTGCCAGTCCATGAAAGGTATTTTTGAATATTGTCTTCTCTTGTCCAAATGACATCTATTTGCAATTTATTTTGGTTGTATGTGTTGTTTGTATGTCTCTTACAGCATAATAGGCTTAATAAGATTCTCTCCGTGAAATAAATGCCTTGGATCCCAATGTAAAGGCAAGGATTCCCATGTAACTCTTAAATGTTTCAGAAATTAAACTATATTCTCTTAAGAAAGAGAAAACATCACTGTTTTTCCTTGAATTTGCTAGTACCTGGTAAAGCTCAAATTGAATTAATGATCAGGCTTTATCCTACTGAGACTGAAGTTTCTTGCCTCTGCCTTATAGAAATTCCCTCTTGAAAGGTCTTCACTCGGTTGTTAAAAACTTTGATTAAACTCCCCTTGTTATAACCAGTTGTGTTCAAGACATTGTAACAAACAAAAGTTGTATAGATGTTTAGCAGTGATACTTAATGGTGGGTTCTGTCCCTTACTTTGGTCTCRTTCTTCTCCATGAGAAACCCCTCTGCTCTGAAGCAAATCCTTGACATTTTGAAGTGGACCTCATGAGAATCTTCCTTGTTTTTCTGCACTTGGCAAGACTTGCTGGAGTTTGGCTGATAGGACATCTGTCAGCCAGAGAGGTCTGTGGCTCCACAGACTGTGACAGTCTCCTCTGTGTTCTCAGTGCTCCTGCGATGGTCCTGTCCCACTCATACTAGGAGGATGCAGAGGAAAGAATTTGTGAGGAAAATGAAATCAATTTAYGCTGCTGTATGGAAAAAGTGGAAATTATGCACTAAAAAGTCTGTAGGTGAAGCAAGATCATTTAAAAGCAACTGTTGTTTGCAGCTACTTGGCCCTTTGAATGTGAGCTAAGAATTACTGCCTCAGTAGAAGAAAGAGCTGCAAGTGTCCAGGAACTGCAACAGGACTGTGTAATCTGTGCAACAACTGCATTGGTTTTCGAGACAAAGAAATCCTTGTAATACATAGGCTTTCCTGATACACAATATGTATTGTTGCTCAAGCAGGCACTGATTTTCTACCCTTCTCTGTGCAGGCCTTGGCTCTCTCAAGTACTCAGCCCATGCTCCCTTCTCCCATGTCCTGCTTGTGAGCACTTGTGCATTCCCCATACAGGATCATGCTGTTGCTTTCCCTAGCCTGGCAGATGGTGCCCACTGACTGTGGGGCTACACGCAGTCATGGACCAAAGTGCACATTCTCAGACTAGCATAAAAAAAGAAACAGCAAGTCAGACATACAGTGAAAGTCATAAATGAAGTGGCTACTTCATTTACTCACTGAACACATGTGGTCTAGACCAAAAGATCCACAAGTGGATCTTGCCAAAAGTCAAAGCAATAGCTCACCTATGAAATGAGGTGGATGCATAATTATTTCCTGTCTTGCCATTGAGTTTACTGTGTGTACTAGATAGCATTCAGTTTCCCTCCCTTACCTCTCCTTTTCCTTGGAAATTCCTTGTATCTCCTCTCAGGCCCCTAYTAGGGTTAGTCCGAGTCTCTTTTCCAGAGCAGCCTTTAGAGGGCAGCACAGTTTGGCCAAGTGTGCAGYGGTGCCTCCTCAGAGCTGCTGCCAGCCCTGGAGCACCAGCAGTGCAAGCTAGCAAGCTGCTCAAGTGCTGGCAAGAACAAGTCAAAATATCTAAGCTGCTATGCTGTGTGGCGTCCTTGCAAGCAAACGATTATTTATCTTATCTTTTCCCTTCCTCCTTGTAGTAATTTGCAAGCTCCTACACTGTAAACTTCTCCCCTGCCATGTACTCCTCATATTCCCCCTGAAGAGAATCACCTGTGCAGCCAGGAGAGCTCTTTCTTCTAATAATAACTTCTTCAGGAGCAGACTTGCAGTCACAAGTTGTCATTTCACTTTGCACCATTTCCAGTTCCTCTGTAACAGACCGCAGGCAAAAAAAAAAAAAAAAAAAAAAAAAGTAGGATGGAAAAAAAAGGAAAAAAGGAGGATGCATAAAGCCTCTGCTCTGCATTGGTAATGCTGCTTGCAAAATCAAAAGCTTAGTACCCCTGGTGAGATTGCAGCAAAATCACAAGACAAAATAAAGAAATTTTAAAAATAATGACATACATTACTTCTGCATTTAAGTGCCTAGGGTTTATCTTTTGAAGCTCACTTAATGACTAGAATAGACTATATTATTAATATACTATATTATTATATCTGTCATCTCATACATAAATATATAGAAACGTTTAACAGTGAAAATATTCTGATATTAAAGGTGCTGTGAGTCAACTGATCCATGTAAATTTCCTCTAGAATGACTAAGTAACTGCCTTCCTTATCAAGGAATGTTTGCTTTGCAGGAAGGGCGACATAAATGGTATGATCCAGATAGCATCCAAATGGCAGAGAAGTTTTTTTCCTTTTTTTTCTCTAGATTAATTAATGACATAAAAGGGTTATGATGTGCAAGCTGCAGTACRAAGTCCAGCTTACTCAGCATCTCAGGGTGAAGATACATTCCTGTGAATTTTACATTGTTATACAAACATAATATTTATATTGTTATATAAAATACAAATCTGCTTAAGAGAGGCCAAGATTGAGACTGAATTCCACTTTCAATAGTTGTCTCTTCCAAAGGAAGAAATTCATGTTGTGCCCTTCCCATCTAGAAGCTCACTGCAGTTTCGCTTGGCATAGGAATGTTGGTTTTCATGTAGYTACCAGTTCCCTACTGGGAAAAGGCCCTGGAAGAGGAAGGGCAGTCAGTGGATAGTGAGAGTGAGAGTCCCTCTCCTCCAAAAATAGTCATACAGTCAGAAAAGCAAACTTCACATGTTGTGACCACAGGCGAGAGGGAGAAAAGATGGATTATAGTCAGGGAGATTCCTCGATGCAGGGAACAGAGGGTCTGATATGCAGACAGGCCCCTTCTCAGAGAAGTCTGCTGCCTTCTTGGGGCCTGGGTTAAGGGTGTCACCAGGAAACTTCCCAGCCTGGTTCAACCTCCAAACTATTATCAATTGGTGGTCCTACATGTGGGAAGAGAGGAAGTGGCCACGCGTAGTCTAAGAGCAGTCAAAAGGGACTTTGGGGAATTGGGTCAGACGTTAAGGAACTCAGACGCACAGGTGATTTTCTCTTCCATTCTTCCCGGTGCTAACAGCCAACACAGACAGAAACGGGAGGATAAAGTCCATCAACACGCAGCTCCGTGGCTGGTGTCATTGCCACAACTTTGGTTTCTTTCGCAACAGGAAGCCTTACATGGCACCAGGCATGATGGCATCTAATGGAATTCATCTTCGTCAAAAGGGGAAGAGGGTCCTGGGTCGTGACCTAGCAGGGCTCATCCAGAAGGCTTTAAACTAGATTAGAGGCAGGAGGGGAGTATCATCTGCGAAGCACATGATAAGGAAGGCGATGGCCTGTCCTGCCACTCACAGCAGCGTAACTCCAGAGCCTGTGAAGGGCGCCCAAAGCCTGGAGAGGCTAAATAGCAAAATATGAGAACTACTAAAGACCCACATAGTCAAGTTGCAGTTGCTCCAGCCAGAATGAGGGGCACACTGGGAGCCAAACTCAAATGCCTCTGCGTAACCGAACACAGCATGGGCAATAAACAAGGAGAGTTGGAGATACGTGTCTGGTTGCAGAGCCAYGATCTCATTGCAACTCCTGAGACATGGTGGGACAGCTCTCATGATTGGAACATGGCCATGGATGGCTTTAGGCTTTTCAGGAAGGGCAGGCCAGGAAGGCAAGGTAGTGGAGTTGCCCTTTATGTGAAATATCAACTGWAATRTATGGAGCTATGCCTAGGGGAGGACAAAGCACGAGTTGAGAGCCTGTGGGTGAGGACTAAAGGGCAGTCCAACAGGGGCAACACTGTGGTGGGAGTTCACTACAGGCCTCCTGGCCAGGAAGAGGATGAGACCTTCTACAGGCAGCTGCAATAGCCTCACAATCACAGGCCCTGGTCCTAATGGGGGATTTCAACCAGCCTGATACCTGCTGARATAAACACACAGCCAGGAATAGACAGTCCAGGAGGTCCCTGCGGAACGTGGTAGATAACTTCTTGTTGCAGGTGGTTGATGAGCCCATAAGGGGAGGGGCACTGCTAGACCTGCTACTAACAAAGAGAGATGGTCTAGTGGGAAATGTGAGGGTTGGGGGCAGTCTTGGCTGCAGTGACCATGAGATACTGGAAYTCATGATCCTGTATGGAGGAAAATGGGCAAGAAAGTGACTGCAACCCTGGATTTTAAGAGACTTTGACTTCTTCAGGGAGTCCCTTGGAGGAATCCTTTGGGCCAGGGTCCTAGAAGGAAAGAGGGTCCGAGAGAGTTGGCTTATATTCAAGCACCAGTTTCTCCAAGCTCAGGATTGGTGTATTCCTACAAGAAAGAAGTCGAGTAAGGGGGCCAGGAGACCTGTATGGATGGTCAAGGAGCTCTTGGGTAAACTCAATGAGAAAAGGAGCACATGGATAATGTGGAAGAAGGGCAAAACCACTTGGGAAGAATATAGGAACATTGTTAGAGAATGCAGGAATGCAAGAAGGAAGGCCAAGGGCTATTTGGAATTAGAGTTAGCAAGAGATGTCTGGGTCAGCAGGAAAGGCTTCTACAAATATATCAGCAGCAAGAGGAAGACTAGGGAAAACGTTAGTCTGCTACTAATTGGGGAGRGTGCCTTGGTGACGGAGGATGCAGGGAAGGCAGAGTTACTAAATGCCTTCTTTGCCTCTGTCTTTACTGCTAAAGACTGGTTTATGAACTTACGAACTACAGAGCCCAGAGACAAGAGAGAGAAGAGGAAGAGAGGCAGAATTTCTGCTGGTCGAGGAKGATTGGGATAGGGATTATTTAGGCAAACGGGACACCCATAAATCTATGGGCCCCAATGGGATGCACCCAAGAATGCTGAAGGAACTAGCAAGGGTTATTGCKCAGCTGCTCTCCATCATCTTTGAGAGGTCCTGGAGAGCAGGGGAGGTGCCSGAGGACTGGAAGAGARCCAACATCACTCCAGTCTTCAAAAAGCGGAAGAAGGAAGAGCTGCAAAACAACAGGCCAGTCAGCCTCACCTCCGTCCCTGGAAAGGTGATGGAGCAACTCATCCTAGACAGCATCTCTAGGCATGTGAAGGAGAAGGAGGTGATCAGGAGCAGTCAGCATGGATTCACCAAGGGGAAGTCATTTGACTTCATTTGACAAGCCTTCCATGATGGGATGACTGGCTGGCTGGACGAGGGGAGATGTTGTCTACCTTGACTTCAGCAAGGCTTTTGACACTGTCTTCCTTAATATCCTCATAGGAAAGCTCAAAAAGTGTGGACTGGACAACACAGTGAGGTGGATTGAGAATTGACTGTATGGCCGAGCTCAGAGGGTGGTRATAAATGGCACCGAGTCCAGTTGGAGGCCTGTGGCCAGTGGTGTCCCCCAGGGGTCAGTACTGGGCATGGTGCTATTCAACTTGTTCATCAATGACCTGGACGAGGGCACGGAGTGCACCCTGAGCAAGTTTGTGGACGATACCAGGCTGGGTGGAGTGGYCGACACTCCGGAGGGCTGTGCTGCCATCCAGAGGGATCTGGACATGTTGGAGAGTTGGTTAGAGAGGAACCTCCTGAGGTTCAACAAGAACAAGTGCAGGATCCTGTACCTGGGGAGGAATAACCCCAGGCACCAGTACAGATTAGGGGTTGACCTGCTGGAAAGCAGCTCCACGGAGAGGGATGTGGGAGTCCTGGTTGACATACAAGATAACCATGAGTCAGTAGTGTGCCCTGGTGGCCAAGAATGCCAATGGGATCTTGGCTCGCATCAGGAGGAGTGTTGCCAGCAAGTGGAGGAGTGGTGAATGTCACCTCCGCTCTGGTGAGGCCTCACCTGGAGTATTGGGTGCAGTTCTGGGCTGCTCAGCACAAGAGGGATGTGGAGCTTCCAGAGAGGGTCCAGCGTAGAACAACAAAGATGGTTAAGGGATTGGAGCTTCTCTTGTATGAGGAAAGACTAAGCAAGCTGGGCCTGTTTAGCCTGGAGAAGGTTGAGAGGAGAGCTCATCGTCATGTACAAATACCTAAGGGGAGATTGTAAAGAGGATGGGGACAAACTCTTCTCAGTGGTGGTCAGTGACAGGATAACGGGTAATGGGTACAAGTTGAAACACAGGAAGTTCCATCTCCACCTGAGGAAGAACTTCTTCATTGTGAGGGTGACAGAGCCCTGGAACAGGCTGCCCAGGAGAACAGGCTGCCTCTGGAGATCTTCCAAGGTTGTCTGGATGTGACCCCGTGCTCCATGCTCTAGGTGTCCCTGCATGTGCAGGGGGCTTAGACTAGATGATCTCTAAAGGCCCCTTCCAACCTTAAACATTCTGTGATTCTGTGTAAATTAACTGCAGGTAGTCTGACTATCTTTCTCTTTAATGTTACGGAACGTGGAGCTCCTAGAGAGGGTCCAGCGGAGAGTGACAAAGATGATTAAAGGAATGGAACGTCTCTCATATGAGGAGAGACTGAATGAGTTGGGCCTGTTCAGCTTGGAGAAGAGAAGGCTGAAAGGGGATATGATTAACAGGTATAAGTTCATGAAGGGAGAATGTAGGGAGGAAGGGGCCAAGCCCTTCTCATTRGTGGCCAGTGACAGGACAAGGGGAAATGGGTATAAGTTGAAACACAAGCAGTTCCATCTCCATGTAAGGAGGAACTTCTTCACTGTGTGGGTGACAGAGCCCTGGAACAGGCTGCCCAGGGACGTTGTGGAGTCTCCTTCTCCAGAGGTCTTCAAAACCCACCTGGATGCCACCCTGTGCTCCATGCTCCTGCTTAAGCAGGAAGGTTGGACTAGATGATCTCTAGAGGTCCCTTCCAACCTTGAACATTCTTTGATTTTCTGATTCTGTTACAATCTTTTAGATTAATATAAATKTTTTATATAGGGAAAGTATTCTTGTACATTGTGTATGCCAGTGAGTGACTTCTTCTTAACTAAGAGTGGAGTTTCTGATTTTGTATTTAATTTTTTGAGGTGATATCCTCTCATCTTACGTGTTTTATCTTTAGCTCATTAAAGTTATAAGTTCATCCTTCATTCTCAATGTCTCATCCTGAAAATTACCGAGCTTTGAGCTTCGTGAGACCTGTGGTCATTCAGTAGTTCTGAAAATAATATTCTTTCTAAAAGCATTTAATGTATTTAAATATATTTATATGATATTTTTAACATGTCAAATGTTACTAATATTTACATCATTTAATGTAAGATCTTGTTCTCTTCCTTTCCCTTTAACATTAGTTGCTAGCAGATGAATTGTTGGATTTACAGGGGAAGGTGATGGTTCACAGCAGAAATCTGTTCAGATCCCATTATCTGTTCCTCTATGACTAGACTATTTTTGTTTGTTTGTTTGTTTGTTTTTCCTGTATTCTCAGTTACTCTGAATCTCATATAGTAGATATAACACTTACTGAGGTACTGGCTTCTTTGGAGCTATGAACAGTTATTTTGTACTCTAAATACTGAAGTGTATGTAGACACATGAAAAAAGTCTTTATTTATGGCTCGAAGACAAAATTATACAGCTCACATTGAAAGAAAATGATCATGCCCAAGTGAGAACTGAGGTACAGGTAAATGCTAGGAACGAATTCAGACATACATTGCACAGGCAAATAGTGACCAGACTTTGCCAAAGTTGTCACATATTTTCAGCAACTAAAGTATTAGTAGACTATAAATTTTATCTTTTATAAGATATACTATACTATACTATAAATTTTTCTCTTTAAAGAGCTCCTCAAAAGATATAATTCATGTTTTATTCTCCCCACATAAAAGCAAGGTTATACATTTTCTAGCTCATGACTGGAAAGGGTTACTTTRCTTAAATACCTTAATCCTTTCTCTAATAATAGATTTCTCCAAACAAATGCTATCTGACCTTCCACTCCAAGAGAGAACTAGAGAAACTCAGCTGTTCAGGGGCATGCCTTTTGGTGCCAAGAAGTATTTTATTAAAATATCTTCTGGGAACACAGCTTTAGGGAAGGAATAGCTTTGCAAGCACATCCTATTACACAGTCAGCAGTCACTGACTGGGGCTGTCAGCAAACACGCAGAAACTTGGGCAAGTAGACATTTGGGTAGATACTGTGTCTTAAGTGCCCCAAAGGATTTTCATTTCTAGTCCAATTTCAAAAGATTCTTTTGCCCATAGTTAAGATTTTCCTAGGGATTAAAAATGCTCTATAAGACAAGGAACTGCAGAACGGAATCTCAGCTACCAAGAACTCAGGGACAGGAGCATTAAATTTATACATCAAAACCCAACTTATCTGGGAGCAAAGCTTTCACTGACTGGAGCAGGAACTGGGAAGCAGATAATAAGTTCTCTTTATGGAGAAGTATATCTGCCAAGGAAGAGTATGCTTTGTGTTGGGTTGTGGCGGATAAAGAAAATGAAAGGATGATCAGCATTGAAATCTTCTTCCGTCACCAAGCAGGAGGAAGCTGCATACACAATGCCAGCAGTGGCAGCTGCAGCTTCTGTGCCTTCCTCATTCACTTCTACAAAAGCCTTGTGGATGATTTGAGACAGAAAGAGGTCACGTGCCTCTGATATTCCTGACAAGTCAGCCTTGCCACTGTCAAATACATCCAACAAGCCCATAGCACGTAAATGCAATTTAAGGTCATAGCTTTCTTCTAGCTTAAATTTTGGCAAATGCACGTTGACATCAGTAGAGCGCAGATGGTGTGGATGGGTCCATTCCTGAAGCTTCTCAMAGGTGAGCTGCTTTTCCAGCTAGAATTACAAGAGAGATCATCAAATATCACTAGGGCAAAAATATATCAATTCCAGTAACATTTACAGTATTTTGTACAATATGATTCAACTACAAAGTCTCTATACAAAAATTAATATACCCATATCATTACTAGTATCAGGTAGATCAAATGAATGCTATTAAAATTAGGGAAGTCAGTGCAGTGTTCATCTAACATGGATGTTCATTTCTAGCTGCAGTTAGGGAAAGGAGTAACATGTACTGAAAGTAACTAAAACGTTATTCCAACTGTTTCATTTAACTAAATGTAACTATATAATTAAAAGTCAGCAAAGGTAATTATCAGAGATCTCAAAGAAGATGATGTGTCCCAGGTCTTTTAATGGTAAACAGTCTCACTACTTTAAGGCTAAGAAAATAAGATTTTCGAAGTTTATGAAAGAAAAATTCCACAAATAAAAGGAAGGAAAATTAAGTCTTATAGTCAACTTCCTTTTTGTTATCCCCTTCAKAGATCTGCACTGCAAGCCAAACATCACCTGCATTCAAGCCGCAAAACTGGAATGCTTTCGCTCTTCCTGATGCAGTGCATGCATGTATGATTTTACAAAAATGTTCACAGAGCATTAGAGAATAAGAGGTTTTAAAAGGTTCATTGAGGCTTTAGTTTTGAATGGCTTTAATTTTAAACAATTGCATTAGGCTAGAAAGGTCACCTCCTGCAGCCCAGTAGAGTCGTCTTCAATGTTATTAGGTAACAAGATGATCATGCTAAGTTCTCGTCCATCATAGCATAGCTCTAAAATACGGGTCTTCATTTCAGGGATGTAACCAAAACAAAATATATCTTTCTTGTACATCATTTTTACTTTCTTTTGTTCGTTCTGGGTGGTTAGAAGGTAGAGAAAATAGCAGTTAGCAATAATTTGAGAAGTGATAGGGAACAGTCAAGTCAAAACTCATGTCTTTAGGTATACTACTAATAATCAAGATTAGAATGAATCTTACAAACCTCCCCCATTATATATTTTATATAGACAGTATATATTAATATATATTATATATATTTACATATATATATTATAAATATATATATAACATGTCTCCATTATATATTATGTATATAGTTTAAAACTCTCTTCATCAGACTTCTGATTGCAGCTTTAATTGCTTTTTTTTGAAGGCAAAATGATATACAAATACCACATCACTAGGTTTGGTTTCCCCTTGGCTTCTCTAGCACAACCACTGCAAAAACTAGGACAGAACATCTTTGACCTGCTGTGCCTTTATTTGACTTTCCTGTGTCTTTTGCTTCACTGTCAAAAAAAGACCAAGGAGTGTGTTAAAATCCATGAAGATCAACTGCATTCAGCGTAAAGCAGATGACTATATACAATACCTTGTAAGCCTGCTGCATAAATAGAATATAGAGCAAGAGAATGGGGCTCAACAAAAGTGCCTAATAAGCTGCTAAACCAGCATTGCAAACAGATACAGCTTACAGCAGCCCATGAACAGGTAAACTCTGCTCAACACAGTTAGGTTCCTAGTTTATGCATGGGAAGTCTTCCTGATGCCATTCCAATAAACACTGCAAGAATAAAGAGCTTGCTGAATACAGAAAAATGCTAAAATCCATACAAGAACATTGAGTTGAACTGAAAACATTCATGAAAGTATTTCCATTTATATTTACTTTTTAAATCTTCTTTGTAAATCAAGCTTCAATTCAGGACCTATATTATTTTGAAAATTCCATTAGATAAATACACACTACCAAGATGTATCCATTTTACCTTATTTAACCAAAATGGCATCACAGCAGTATTGGCTTCTTTAAATTTCTTTGCCCATTTCCCTTTGAAATAAATAGCATTCACGAGTACGAGTCTGGTCATGCTATCAACTGAGCCTTCAGGCAGCAAATTAGGGATTTTACCTTCAGAGAGAGAGGGAAAAAAAGTCATAACAAAAGCTTACATGTTGGCTACATATAAAACATCCCTAAACCACAGAAATAATAGAAATATAAAACTCTATCCCTGTGATAAAAATATGTATTTTAGGGTCAGTCTTTTTAATTCATCACACTTTTCAATTGTACAYACTACTATAATTTTGGATATACAATAATTTGATGAAAGAGAAATGTTTTCAGTTTAAACTGTCACATGTGACCTTCAGTCTCTGATGATGTGGTTCTCATTATTGATCTGAAACAAGCCAGTGGGGGCCAAGCTGCAGGAACACCAGCATATAACTTGGCAGTCTTTTTTTTTGTGATGCTTGCAACCAACTGCATGAGAGCGAGGGAATACCTACATTTATGATCACTGATTTAGAAATATGTATATTATTATGATCACTGATTTAGAAATATGTATATTATTGACCAGATTACCTGAAAGAAATTCCCTAACTCTTAGGTATAAACATGTTTTTAAGTGTCTATTCTGTATTTATTGGACTTAATGCACAAAAATGGAAATAACATTGAACTTATGTTTGACCTATTTTTTTAAATTTTTGTCTATTCTGTATTTATTGGCCTTAATGCACAAAAACGGAAATAACATTGAATCTATGTAGCCCTTTAAATGTTTTGCTTAGGTGCTCTCTTGTTGTGTCAGTCAAGCAATTGAGTATCTCAGGACAAAATGAAACTGCTTCAAAGGCAGCAGAAAATAAAAACTATTCCTACTCCCAAGCCATAACCACAATATCYTACCTTCAGTTTTTTCCTCCACCCACTTGTTAACTTCCTTTCGGGCTTCAYCAGAAGCCTGAAGAAAATCAACTGTAGCCAAATCAGCTCCATATAATTTCCGAGTATTAGTCAGGAAATCCTAGATTTTGGAAGGATAAGGAATAGCTTTCATTGAAAGTAGATAAGAAAACGTCTCTTTATGATGCAGATAGTGCCCAGGTCAAAGAGTTCATCACCCTCCCAGAGGTGGGGCCCTACCATGGCTCTGCTTTCCATTCGTGTCAGAACAAGTCTCCTAGCACATCCCCGACTCGTACCTGCAACGTGGTATTTGCTATGGGTGTTCCAGCCTGTCACTCTGCTGAAACAACCTGCCACAAGACACCTAGAAGGTGCTGAAAAGGGGTATAAACAGTGATCTTGCCTTAAGAGTGCCCTTCACACAAAGGTATAATTTACTCATTAAGGGACATGTTGGGTGTTCCCTTCCAAATAAGTAAGATAGTTTCAAAAGTACCTACCATGAGTAGGGTAATGGTGCATCCTAACAATGAAAATCATTAAAAGCTACTGACAACAGGCTTGGATTACACACTGAAGGAGTGGGATGTTGTGAGAATTTTCTGCTCTGAACTGAGGCAACTGCTTATTCACTTGGGCCCAAGAGCAGCAGAACTAAGTGAAGAAAAGGCATTTTCCTGAGTAACATCCTTTGGTTAAGATCCAGAGGTGCTCACAGATGTAGGCATGTGCATGCACATGTGACACTTCAGTCATAAATACAAATGTGCCTATATAAGGAAGTATTTTTACTTTATAAATATTCAAATGGCTGCAAATATATTATTTAGCAAATCAGGGACATGTGAGTTGCACAGTTTACTACATTTATATCTGTATCTCTGTTTTACGGTTGTGGGTTTTTTTTTTTTTTTTTTTTCTTTTTGACATGGTGTGTTCTGTAGATAGGAGAGGAACTGATGGCTGAGTTTCAAAATTTCCTGCAGGGTTCAACCAGACAGTTGCATCCTATGTAAACATACCGGCAAAAAACTGTAGGACTTCTCTCCAAAAAGGCGACTGGCAAGCCGTAAGAGATAGGGAGCATCCCTGTGGTTAATATCAGCAGTCAGAGCCTGAAATCTTGAATGAATATCTTTGACCTTGTCAAAATGAAGTATCTGAAATGGAAGAAATGAACCAGCTGCTGCTAATTCTGTATTTAAAGGAATGTACATTATATCTGTAGCTTGTGTCTAAACAGTCAAGTAGCCAGGTTGAAAAAAGGAAAGACAAAGAGAGGCTGGGAGCTRTTTGAGATCTCAATAAGTATAAGAATGAATTAATCTGCTTTTCGGCCTTAGGTAGCCTGTATCAATGACAGAGAATATAAAACCTAGGCAAGGACATTCGCATTCAAATGTAAATCGTATTTCTTAATATGGAAATCCGCTGGGGCACATATACTGAATGCAAATGAAAAGTCCTCATTTTAWCTCTGGGTTTTGGTCTGGTCTAACTCCCCACATTAACTGAGGTGATGAACATATGAACAGTTGAGCAAGAACAGCAACACCATGCAATAGGATTGTAACTACAGAAACAAATTTCTGTATGATCGTAGCAACTCTTGACAGTTTATCAGCCACTGCCATCTCAACAGATATATTTTCCTAAGTGTTATGGCATGAGAATGTGCATTACTTAAACTCGTTGTGTTGGAATGCATATTTTCAAAGCTTTTGTGTATTATTTCTGCTCTCAGTAAGCTGATCCTGGGTGGGGCTGTAAGTTTGGTTACGTGGAGTATATCTACAAGGTCTGTTTGTTAAGTATTAAGAAAATAATTTTATTGTCCTATTCAGTAAGCCCAGCACTGCGTAATAGTATAGGACAGTCCCTGCTAAAGTCCAAAATACAAAGGTGATATTATTCATAGACAAATATATTGTGATCATTGCAAACATAATGCTCCCATAGCATCCCGATCTGCACTGGCAGATAGCAGCCCAACAAAAGGAAAAGCAGTAGTGACTGAGCTCCTTTTGTGCAGGAGGCCTTGGGGGAAGTTAGCACATTCCGTTGTACATCATTTTTGTGTTTTGTAATCAATGCTGTGAAATCTTTGACTCTTAAAAGAATAATAAATTTAAAGGCAGATGCTATTTGCTCCAGATTTCAACCAGGCTGTGGAATGTGGAAGGTCTGACGAACTGAGTTTGTAGCAAAACTGAAAGTGAACTTGTTAAACCACTTCTTTTTTTTTAAACGATGGCTGGCTAACATACAACTATTTTAAGAATAGGGTCAGGTCCTCAAAGATACCTGGGTGCCTAGCTCTTATTGCAGTCTCAGATATTTAAAGGCCATGACAATAGCAATTGCCTCAGCAAAGCAGAGTCATATGACAGAATAGAAAAGGGATATTTAAAGACACATATTTGAAACATATCTGATGCTACCATCATGGTTAACTCTACAAGAAATGAAGAACAGTTTATCTGCATTGGAAAAATGAATGCTTTCCCATATAAAGGGYCAATCTCATTCATTCACCAAAATTTGGGGCCTGGGACTAAGATARCATAATCATCTATACTCATAGTTATCAAACTTCAAACATAGTATTTTATTATTGTTTTAGTATTTATTACAAAACACACTCTGATAAATGTACCACTAATAAGTCTGTATTACAAAATTGAAGTGCTTAATGGAAATGTCTTACGAAAACCAGGCCTTGCTGATAGAAATTCTGGTCAGTTTTAATTGAGACTGATTAACTAGTGAAATACTTCACCAATAAGCTTAATTAGTGAAATTAAATGAGAAAACAGGGCCATGGCAAAAACAGAAAGAGAGCTTTGAAGCAGGGCCGGCARAAGATAATGGCAAAAACAGGCCAAACAAGACTCAGAATTAAAAAAAAATACTATTACATTTTTCTATTCTTTCATTTTCTTTCTTCTTCTTCAAAAAAGTGAGCTATTTTAATATAATAAAATATAAAACAAAAGAGAAAAGTGTTTGCTAACCTTCAGCATCTGGGCCTCTGTATTACCTTTGGCCCCTAAAAGGAGCATGGCCAGAGCAGCAGAAACACTCATAGGAGAGAAGAAAACATTTCCTGTTGGGCTGGTCTCAATAACTCTTCTAAACAAGTCGAGTGCAAATCTGCAGTTTGCGTTGCTCAAGTTCTCCATGGTTACAGCTGAAAAACAAAACATTCAGTAAGGACTCCAGGAAACACTCTACAAAAATCCAACGCTTACTGAGTCATAAAGTAATTGATTTAATAAAATATGTAGGGATAATAAGAATTTTGCTGTCAACTAATTATCTTCCTCTTAAAAAAAAAAAAAAAAGAAAATGCTGTCCTAGTCACACTAACTTTAAAGATACTGTTTCAAAAAAATACTTGCCTTCTACCTCGAAATTGGAACCATATGCACTAGCAGGACTGTGAGTTTATCTTTCTTTTCCACAAACCCAGCATACTCCAGAAAGCTCAGTCATGAACCTTTCTTCCACTTGTTCTACCCATATGGACTCTGTCCATAGTAGCTGCAAGGATATAAGGGACATCTTTCAGGAAGTTGCCTACCTTCAATGAACAAACCATGCCATGTTAAGGTGCCRGTGCTGCCAAAAGCTTAAGTACACATTTATTTTTAGTGGTATATGAAGCAACACTATTTCCACTATAGCAGTCCATTGGAACAATCCAAGCTACTTGCAAACTGCAGTGATCAAGCTGAAAATGCATGTGAATCTTAATGGATTTGTGTGTAAATCCCAAAATGCATCGACAGAGAGCCTGAGTTTTGGATTAACCAAAGGCAGCGCAACTGCCAGTGAAAGCAGAAGTGAAATGCAGACCAGGACTGATAAGCATAACCAGAACACAAATTCATTTTTGTAGCAGCCTTATCACCCAGGGAGGCAAAGGCAGGAGACCGTAACACAGGATGGTTGAGGTTGGAAAGGACCTCTGTATATCATCTAGTGCAGCCCTCCCATTGTTCATGGCAGCTCACCTGCTGCATGCTGCCCAGACCTAGTCCAGATGCTGTTAATTATTTCCAAGGATGGGGACTTCACAAGGTCTTGGGGCAGCCTGTTTAGTGCTCAGTCACCACCCCAGCAAAGAAGTTTTTCCCTATGTTCAGACAGAACTTCCTGTGCCTGTTGCCTCTCATCCTATTTTGGGGGCACTACTGAAAAGTATCGCCCCATCTATTTACACCCTTGCTTCAGGTATTTTTACACACYGACAAGATCCCCTCCTCAGGCTTCTCTTCTGCAGGCTGAAGAAACCCAGAGTTCTCAGCCTTTCTTCATAGGAGAGACGCTCCAGTCTCTTCATCATCTTGGTGGCCATTCCCTGGAGTCACTCCAGTAGCTCCATTTCGCTCCTGTACCRGGGAGCCCAGAACTGGACACAGYACTCCAGATGTGGTCGCACCAGGGCTGAGTAGAGGGGAAGGATCTTCTCCCTCAACCCGCTGGTGATGCTCTTCCTGATGCACCCCAGGACACCGCTGGCCTTCTTGGCCACAAGGGCACATCGCTGGCTCAAGGTCCATGGTCAGCCTGCAGCCCTCCAGGACTCCCAGGTCCTTCTCTGCAGAGCTGCCCTCCAGCAGGTCACCCCTAGCCCRAACTGGTGCATGAGGTTGTTCCTCTCTAGATGCAGAACTCTGCACTTCCCTATACTGAACTCCATGAGGTTCCTCTCCAGCCTGTTGGCATCCCTTTGAACRGCAGCACAGCCCTACGGTGCATCRGTCACTCCTCCTAGGTTGGTAGCATCTGCAGGCTGTTCAGGGGACACTCTGTCCCTTCTTCCAGACCACTGATGAACAAGTTGAACAGGAGGACTCCTAACTGACCCCCTGGGGACGCTGCTAGTTACAGTCCTCCTACCAGACTCTGCACCACGGATCACAATCCTCGGAGCTCTGCCAGTTAGCGGATCTGGTTTATATTRTGAAACTCTCCTGTCTGCCCCACGTTAGATGTCTGCTTCTCTCTGCTTGCTCGCAGGGTGACTTTGATTTGTGGCTGTTTCTACCTTCTTTCCTTGCAAAGTTTTGTTTCAGACACCGGCACATTAGCTTTGTGAAATTAAAGGGCATCCCAGCAGCACCGCTCTTGTGGTTACTGCAGGACTAAGTCAGTACTGGAACCTCTTTGTTGCCAGCACAGTCTTTCTCCAGGCAATCTAATAACTAAATTAGTATCTGAGCCAGCTGCCTGACAGGAAAAAGGTGGCTCCCTCTGCAACCAACTCCGATCAGGCATCCGGCCAAGAGAGACGCGCTTTAAAACCAARTGCTCGTTTGCGCGGCCGCAGCGCAGACACGAGGGGGTGCGCGGGTTTGCAGGAGGGGACCCCTTGGCACCCATTCCCTCAGAAATCACCCCAAAGGGYCCCCCGTGCACCCCCCTCCATCCCACAGCCCACCTACCCTGTGCAGTGCTGGCGRTGTCGATGGGCCTGCTGTGCAGCCGGGGCCTCCCTGGGGCGGGGAGAGGGGAGGGCAGGGAAGTCCCACACCACTCCCCATGGCATCGTGCCCCACRGCATCGCTGTGCACCTCACGGCATCGCTCTGCACCGCATCGTGCTGCTCCGCACCTCACGGTGCTGCTCCGCACCTGCCATCGGGATACTGCCCGGAGCGCGGCGCCTGTGGCCGCTCACCGCGGGGCGGGAGCCTTGGGKGCCCCGACCTGCGGCTGCACCGTCGTTTCTGCTACTTTTCTCCAACGTCCTGAGTTAGGAGTAGGGCAGTTTAGCACTATTTGGATCATGATCRCACAGCCATGATTTGGAGCTGTGCACAAAAACACACGGCCCCTTAGACTCCTGCCCAGAAAACCAGTGCATCTCTTGGGAGCTTCCTGCTCTGTAGGCTGTTTAGGATAAGGCYTTTTCCAAACTTCATGGCAATCTAAGTAAACTGGATTTTACTATATTCAGGAWATCTCAGATTGAACAGTGAGTTCTTAATCAACTACAGAGAAGCTTTGTCATCCATCCAGAATAGCTTTCTTTTCAGCTGAAAATGGGAGGAAATGAAATGCAAATCCCACAGCACTCATAATTAGTTTATTTATTTCAGGAACAGAAAGCGCTGGAAAAAGTCATTTCAGCCATATCTTGGGTATTACCTACYAAGCTTGTTTAGCAAAACATGAATAAGAAAAAAGAAAAAGCTACAAAAATAAATGATTGGCATTTATATATTGCATAGCCCCCCTATACCTTTTATTAAATTACATGCTTTTTATATTTTGAYGGAAATATCAGTCCTACTTGGTAAGAGGCCTCCATGTACAGTGGCTAATAAACCTTGGTGTCAGCTGTCGATAAAACACTGATCCTGGCCCCATCAAGATTTGTAAGGTCATCTGCTACAAGGGTCCTACTTTTATTCCCACTGCTGGCGAAGTGCTTGTCTAGTTAGTATCCCCTTAAAATCTGTCCAGTTAGGATGATAATAACATGTAAAATAGGCTGCCAAACCCTCCTTTCATCTGTAAAGAAGGTATCAAACAATAAATGCACCTGTCTGTGGGGGTAAAAAAAAAAAGAATGGAAAAAAGACTGGGAACAGAAGAAAAAGGGGACAAGGGTGGGTAATAGCTTCAAGAAATAAAATTATTTTCTTCCTTTTCTCTGAGACCTCTGGTSTCTGGTGGCCAAAAAACATGAAGTGAAACCCAAGCACAGACAGTGAAACCCAAGCACAGATAGAAGTATTCACTGAGCAAATATTTTTTTCTTTTTTTTTTTAATGCTTTCAAAAAGTTAAGAGTATTGTCTATTTAAGCACATTGCATAAAAGGTTTGTTTTAAATGGCAGTGGCCATACATTTCTAAGTGGCTGTTATTCCATGCAAGCTTGAAATAAAGACCAGCAAACTGGATTCAGGCACTGTTGGAAAAGGCAGTGAGTACGAAAGAGTAATCCTATATAGCTAAAGATCATGAACTTACTGGAGTAATAGGGGCTCATCTGCCAAGATGKGTCCTGTTTAGGGAGAGCAAAACCTGCCACAGAACAGAATGGTGGACGTTTTGTTGTGCCGGATGAAGAAGAGGAAGGGATGATCAGCAGTAAAATCTGGAACAATCATTGCACAGCGCAGCATCATCACTCCTGCTGTGGCAGCTGCAGCCTCCGTGCCTTCTTCGTTGACCTCTATGAAGGACTTGTGCACCACTTCAGAGAGCACCAACTCGTTGCCAGATGACATTCCAGAGAAGTCTGCTTTCGCCAAGTCAAACGCATCAGGCATTCCCATGCTGCTCAGAATGGGTTTCAGATCATAATTTTCTTCCAGTTTAAATCTGGGTAAAGACAGTTTCACCTCTGTGTAGTCCATCATTTCAGGTTTAGTCCACTCCATCAGATTCTCATATGTAAGCTCTCTTTCCAGCTATAAAAAATTATATATATACACACACACATATCTTAATATCAAACTCTTCTCTGGCATGACACAAACTGTCTTTGCATTTAGTTTAAGAACTTACACTTTCCAGGCCAGTAGATCCATCCTGGATTGCATCTGGGAGCAAGATGATCATGCTGAGTTCCTCATCAATGTARGGGACTTCAAGGATTTTGGTCTGCAAATCTCCATTGTAGGTCATGTTAAATTTACTTTTCTTATACATCATCTGCACAGGTTTGCTCTCATTCTAAAAATAAGGTGTGACAACAGTTAATACTGAGCTAGTATGCTGGTCTTAAAATAAGAGACAGGCATCCAGTTACTCAGAGCTTTTTGTGATTTGCCTGTAGGGAAAACTAGGACATGCTGTGGGGTACAGCCCTGTCACTGCTTTCAGGGAAGCAATGGACAATGACTCAGGTTCCTTGGGTTTTAATTTTTCATTGTTAATATGGAAGTACATGTGATGTGACAGCAAAGAGGCAAGAGCATGCTTTTACACACACGATTTTTAGTATTCCTTTTAATAGAGCTGCTAGGAAGCATGGTCTGTTGTCTCTGCTTTATGTGACTGTGCAATAATTTCAGTTTAGATACTTTCACTTTTGGGTAGCTCTATCTGCTATAGTATAAAAGATTTAAAATATTTTAATGCACCACTAAAAATGCAAAGAAAAAGCGTTGGCACTGTTTTGAGTCCTTAAAAATCACAGGGACATTAGGGAGAGGGGAGATATTTTTCTTCTCTGTTCTGTTCTCTATTGTCTCCTTCTGCTTCCCTTTTTTTCACATGGACCATCAGTTACTAATGCTTACATCATTGTTATCCTCCATTTCAGTTAAAGAGTCACATTACTAGCTCTTGTTAAGGACATCTGGTAACATTCCCAGAGTTTGGGATCATTTCCAAAAAGCAGTCCTGACCCAAGAATCAAGTGGAAGACAGTATTTTTCTAGAATAGCGTGGATATGGCCTTGCAAAAGGCTGTTTACATTCACAAGCTTCTGAACATGTTCAGGTGCTCCTTTCTGATTACAGCCCAAAGGTTCGCTCCTTGTCTTAGGCACACCAGTTTTATACTGAAATAGTCAAGTTCACTTGACGCCTGTTCACTGCTGACTTTCGTGAAGTCACTCTTGTCTTGGCACTCATGTGAGAAAAGAATTAGTAATACCAGATTTTTGGCCATAAAGCAAGCACTTAAAGCTTTGATGAAGCAACTGTGAAGCAACTGTGAAGCAACCCTTCTCAGCTGTGTTAAACAAGGCAGAAGGACTTTGCAAATATTTTCAGGTCTGAGTGAGTTCTGTACACAAATGTACCGCCTGCAGGCCATGGAGGCTAAATGATTAATAATTTCTTGTGCCCACACCTTGTGGACTCCCAGAAACAGTGCGACAGCTTCACTTAGCAAAGATACCTTCAGAAGATGTCTTAAGTTCTGTAACTATTTATGGGAATGCCTCTAGAGGCAATAGAGAGGAAAACAGAGGAAAAAAAGAGGGAAAAGAAAGAGAAAAAAGTATTTAATTTTGATATTAAAATATTTAGAAAGTATGTGAAACAATAAAAAAGAGGGAAAAGAAAGAGAAAAAAGTATTTAATTTTGATATTAAAATATTTAGAAAGTATGTGAAACAATAGAAAAAAAGAATGATTATATTAAAGGCATAGAAGTAATTCTATTCATCCTACCTATGGTTATCCTGCATTAATGTTTTTTTTTAACCAAGTTAAATGTAATATTGTGCTGTCAGCATTCCAGAGGACCATACCTTGTTCATTTTAAATGGCTTTTCCGATGTGCTCTCTTTGTCGAACTGGCCCTCCCAGTTGCCTTTGAAATAGATGGCATTCACCAATACAAGTCTGGTCATTGAATTAATAATTCCCTCAGTCAGCAGGTTCCGAATTTTACCTTTGGGATACATTTGAAGAAAAACAAATTTTAACCRCAAGGCAGCCATCTAATTATTAACAAATACAGTATCTCCTCTGTAATGGATATGTCATAGATAGTATCTATCTGATGGCAAGAGCTCAGGATTTTTAAAAATATCCCCAATATTTTATCTTGAAATACTCGTTTGTCTRAGCCTTGACTGCCTTTTAATGTGGGACAGAGTTTGCAAAATACTTACCTTCAGTCTTCTCTTCTACCCAACTATTTATTTGTTTTCTGGCATCCTCTGAAGAGTGCGCAAAGTCAGTTTGTTCTAACCCAGCGTGATAGAATTTCTGACTTGATTCTGTAAATGACTACAAGTGAACATTAAGCACAGATTCACATTTATGCCTTCTGGTTAAGGGAATTATTAGAAATCATGTACTCTGGATTGACAAAGAAAAGACAAACTACAAAATAGTGTGTATGGTAGATAACAATTCTTTTTCACCTTATTAACACACAATGAAGTGAAAAGAGAAATGACAGATATTTAGTCCCTAGCCAAAAARCATGTGAATTGTGCAGATTGAATCTAGCAGGGTTTAGAGGGTTTTGCACCGTCACAGGGTTATCAAACAGGAGCAAATTCAGATACTGTCATTTGGAGGACAGTCCTTTGCATCAGTAGGTGTCAAATCTTAAAAAACCCATAACACCAGTGAAATAAAATACAATGCCTTTAACTGACCTTCACAGGGAATATGTAGGGAGTATTCTATACATGAAAGCCGCAAAAATTTGAGGTTTACTTACTGAAAGGAACTCAAATGTCTTTTCTCCGTATAAGCGATTGGCTGTTCTAAGCACATACTTGGTATTTGGATTGTTGATTTCAGAAAGGAGTAACTGATACCCGTTGTGGGCGTCCGAGGCTTTGCTCAAAGCAAGCACCTGTAGAAAGATCAACATCTCCAGCACAGTCCACATCTCTGAAGCACTTGATTGAGCACAGTGCTTTTCTACCAGTTTTGAAATTAAAGCACAGTAAGCACTCATCTGGTGCTTACTGTGCAAGCTGCACACGATGTGTGCACAGGAGGATKTTGTGGAATAAGGAATAAATTCGGGTGCAGAAGGCTTAGTGGTTATACAGCTCCCATCTCTCTATCCAAGCCATAAGGGATATACAATTAAAAACAAATTTTTGGTGCATACTAACTTATTTATAAAATACATTTAATAATATCATTCATCGTATCTGCTGTTGATAAAGTCCAGGCCCTTTCATAGCATTAAATGAAAACAAAACATACGTTTATCCATCGTTTATCCTATCCACTTTGCAAGAAGAGGTATGCATAAACAGAAAAATGACTGAATACGCATTTAATATTGTCAACTGCATAAACAGAGAAGTCCCCAAGTGGTCTCTTCTACTTGAGTATGTTAAAAAAAAAAATGTCAGCCAGTTGGGCAGTTAYAGTTTTCTTCTGTGGCAACAACAGCCCTTTTTACAGTCCATTTCTGAGAACTGAAAGCAACATTTTATATAATGCCTTCAAATACTGTGACAATGAAACTGCTGTTTGTGTTCCCAAATACGGTGCATATTCTGTTCTATCAGTCAGTCAGATGCCTTTTTTTGCGTTGTGTTCATCATTGTGCTCTCTCATCCCTATTTTATTGAAGAAGTAAATTAATTATGGTATGCAATAATGCCACGCCTCTCATAAGTTCTTCTAGGAAATATGTTCATGAGTACTATTCCTTGATTTCTAATCTTTACATGAAAGGGTGTTTTTTTCATTACATAAAAACATTTATGAAAGAAACAACTTTTTTTTTTTCTCTAAGGATCTGATTTTTGAGTATGGTGTGCGTAAAACAGTGTCTTAAATTTTCACTCAGCTCAATTGAATGAAACTTGCAGCAACCAAGATAAATATTTGGTGTATTTGACTTAACACAATAAGACTTCTTCACCAACATTTTACAAGTTGCTGCTGCTTGTACTCAAATTTCAAAATGTTGTCAGGCATTATTCCCAAGGAAGAATGCAGAAGCACATATATTTTTGTAGTTGGACAAAACACACACACATAACCAACCCTCACCATCTCACCTCACTCTCTCTTACTAACATTCAAAAGGARGACCACTCAAAAACAAAGGAAATTTAAAAAAAAGAACTACGAATGTTTTAGTTGCATATTAAAGGGAACTTCACCTACACAAACACACACCAATTAAAAAATAAAAGGTACTTCTGAAGTCCCTACTAAAGGAAAATCTCTGTTCTGTGAGGCCTGAATGACAACAACCATTTAGCATAGGTGCAGGYCACAGACTTTAAACAGAGATTGGTGGTTCATATGTTCATGCCAAATTTTACATGTTTTATTTAGACATACCTTTGCTATCTGGGCTTCAGTGTTAGTTTTGGAACCCAGCAAAATCATAGACAGAGCAGAAGAAATACTAAATGGAGAAAAGAACAGGTTCTGCGTCCTGTTCTTTTCACACAGCTTTCTGAAGAGTTCGAGGGCAAAAGTGGTATTTGCCGCACTGAGGCATTCCATAGTTGAGAACCTGGCACATAAAACACAAAAGAAAGCGTCAAATGTATTTCAATCCAAATTGACAAATTATTTTTGCCTGTATATTTCCCAGTGTACCCATTTGTATATATTTTACTGGACTATACTTGTAAGGAAGACAGCAGTTCCCACTGGCCTCACTAGGCTCTTCAGTTAGTCAATATACTGTATCTTTTCAGGTAACATATATCACACAGAATTACAGAATGTTTAAGGTTGGAAGGAACCCCTAGCGATCATCTAGTCCAACCCCCTGCTCCAGCAGGGACACCCAGAGCACAGGGCGGCATCCAGGYGGGTTTGGAAGACCTGCAGAGAAGGAGACTCCACAGCCTCCCTGGGCAGCCTGTGCCAGGGCTCKGKCACCCTCACAGGAAAGAAGTTCTTCCTCATCTGGAGATGGAATTTCCTGGGTTTTAATTTGTATCCCTGGCCCTCAACTGGCCACCAATGAGAAGAGTTTGGCCCMATCCTCCCTATATTCTCCTCTTAGGTATTTGTACATATTAATAAGATCCCCTCTCAGTCTTCTCCAGGCTAAACAGGCCCAGCTCACTTGGTCTTTCCTCACAGGACAGATGCTCCTGTCCCTTAATCATGTCTGTTGCCCTCCGTTGGACCCTCTCTGGAAGCTCCACGTCCCTCTTGTCCTTGGGAGCCCAGAACTGCACYCAATACTCCAGGTGCAGCCTCACCAGAGCTGAGGAGAGGGGCAGGATCCCCTYCCTGCACCTGCTGGTAACACTCCTCCAGATGCAGGCCAGGATGTCATATATGGCAATGAGCATTTTGTTTAGAATTTGTTTAAATAGAAAAAGTCTCCCCTCAYTTCTCTAGGAGGTCTTTAGAGAAAAATAGGAGCCAGAAGATAAAAATCAGAATGGCAATGAAAAACTCTTACCTTCTCTAAGTCTGTTTAACTTCCTTGGTATCTTCAGGTTACTTGCAAGCACGYCACGGCTATGCAGCGTCGCTAGCAGAAGTCAGCAGAATGAACYGACCTACTAGATTAACAAGAAGAAAATAGTTATTGTTTAGTCATCATGGCAGCATATTACTGTAATTTCCTGCTGCAGTAAAAAGAGAAAAAAATCAAAGTCCATTTTAAGCTGCATTTTATTGCCTASAGCACACCAACATGCACCACAAAAGACAGAACGTTATTGTACATAATATGTATACTTGAAAGACTGTCAGACGCTACAGATTAAAAAAAAAATAAAAAGCCTTAGAAACCTTAGCTGGAAACAATCCTTCAGTTCCATCCAAAACAACACAGTAATTTAATTAAACTTACTGTTCAGCACAAGCAGAGGCAACCAGTGTCTTAAATTCTTAAATATACTTTAACCATCCCCAATAACAGAATTTTCCTGCTGTCTTGATCCCTATCAAACCTTATCAAGTTCTTTTGACCACCACTGGCAAAGCACTGGGGACAGCACTGCGCAGGATTATTTAGGATGCTTTGGTAGGGTTTCCATGACAAGTAAGGGTTTACAGGACAAAGGACACTACTGTTGTTTTGTCTGCTGACAATTGGTGCATTTAACCCAACTGGATSTAACATTTCTTCACAAGGTTAGCAGTGGAAATTCTTTGCCTCCCAGTAACGCAACTATTGACACCTTTCTCCTCAGAAGTAGTGTGATTTTGAGGAGAAGATGCAGAATGACCACSTTTTTATGCAACTACCCTGTCCCCTATAATATAAACACACGTTTGTCAGTTGATTTTACATTGCTCACCAGAATATGCTTAGAGATCAGACAGAAAGCTGGTAACAGGAATCTAGATGAACTATTTAGCCTGCAGCATCTCGTTCCTCACTACCATTTCTCTGGGGGAGAGTGCAGGTCCCTGGGCAGGGCACCTGAGYGGAGGTTTCTGCATGACCTGACTCTGCATGCCCATGGCATTATGAATATGCTGCGTATATTCTTAACATAAATAGGCACTTATGCTTAAAAAACAAGAGTTTTTGGAGACAAAGGCTGTTTTGAAAACACAGGTGCTTCCAAAGGCAGTGTGTAGATTAAACGGAGGATATGTGCWGCAACATCACTCCAGTTATTGTTTTTCCATGAAGGGATCAGGCCCAAGCAGCGTGCACCTCTCCTCTGACCCGCACTCCCAGATAAGCTTCCCTCAGAAGCCGCASTGTGGATTAGGGCCTGGCACACGTGGAAGTCTCCCCACCAGAGATCAGCCACCTCCCAAGAGCTCTCAGGTCCCCCCATTCTGACACAGCCAGAAGGCAGATGGGCTCTGATGAACCTCCTGCAGCACCTGCCTCCATGGGGGAAGCAGCGTCCTCAGGGTGTGCAGTGCACGCCTGGACTAAAACCACCTGAAACTAAAGGGACTTCTCAGTGGGAAGAGGCTTCGCTTAGAATTTGGAGTTAGGCTAAAGCGTAACGAGACATTCACAGAGCTAAACCGCTGCCTCCTTGGTGCACCTGGGCACCTCCAGCTTGTTCCCAATGCTGAACGGCATCAGGCTGTGGATTCGGGGGCCTCCTGMCCCACAGGAACCTGCCAGCCATGGGCCTGCTGGGCAGCATCACCTGCTGCAGCGTCGCCTCTCTCCCGGGATGAGCTGGGGATGCTGGAGCTCTGCTGCTCCCCATCTCAGCCCCTGGCCCTCAGGAATGGGGAGCCAGACGCTTGGAGCAGGCACGCCTAAGATCCCGCTCCTTCCCAGCAAGGCCAGCCCAAGTAGCCCCGTCAGGAGGATGCGGTGCCCATGGGGGCAGGCTGGGGAGTAAGGAAGCTGCCAAGGAGCCTACCTGGAATCCATGTGGGAATTAGGGAGGGGGCAGCACAATAAACACGTTGAGGTTCAGAATTACTGGTGAGGAAGTCAGAAACATATTCCCTATGCACCAGCGCAACGCTAGTGGCAAAGTGAAAGAAACAAGTGCAGTAAAGACAGGAAGGAAAAAAAATAATAATAATAAAAAAAAGCAAGCAGAAGGAAAGAGCAGGAAGCACCCCCGCCCTGCGCTCTCCAAAACAAACGCGGCCTCCCCTGAAAACGAACGTTTCAGGCGGGCCGGCGGAGCCGCCGCCGCACTCACCGTGCTCCGCAGCTGGCGGCGCCCGGCCTGCCTGCCTCCCTCCCTCCCTCCCGGCCCGCCTCCCGGCCTCCCGGCCCGCCTCCCGGCCCGCCTCGCCCCGGAAGCCTCCCCGCCTGTCGGGGCCGCCGAGGGCGGCGGCAGCCGGGCCGGCAGCCGGGCCGCCCCCTGAGGCGGGACGGACGGAGCGGCCGCCAGCGAGCGCCGCCCGGCGGGGCAGCGGGGACAGAGCCGAGATACATACATACATACATACATACATACATACATACATACATACATACGTACATAAATACCACTTATTTATTTATTTATTTGCAAGGCGGTTTGTTGTAAACACGTTTACGAGAAGGGCATATACATACATACACGTACATGCACGCAGGTATATAAAGAGAATCTTTAAGCACAAAAATAACTGATGCAAAATTCAGCGCTGATTCAGTTGCACAGCAGGGCTTTGTAAGCAAGGCATATGATGGTAGGAGAAGGGTTGTGCCCATCCTTTAGAGGTGTTGTAGGTGTAATGCAAGGAGCTAGTAAAGTGCTCAAGAGGAGGATAGGCAGGGTCTGAGGCGCGTAGTGGTAGATGTTAAGATTCACGTTTGAATCCCGAGCTCCAGTAATGAGGAACAGGGCCTGTGTTAGCAGACAYCAGTAAAAGGAAGGCATGGAAATATCTGCAGCTGGTAGTGGAGAGGACACAGGGCTGTCCTGGATGGCCTGACCCAAATGCTGGGCAAAGTGAACGAGAAAAAAAGAGTGTACAGCTTGTGGAAGAAGGGACTGGCCACGTGGGAGGAATACAGGCGCATCGTCAGAGAATGCAGATGCGAAATGAGGAAGGCCAAAGCCCAGGTGGAATTAGAGTTGGCGAGGCACGTCAGAGACAACAGGAAGGGTTTCTATAAGTATATCAATAGCAAGAGGAAGACGAGGGAAAATGTTAGCGCACTGCTGAATGGCGAAGGGGCCTTGGTGACGGAGGATGCCGAGAAGGCGGAGTTACTAAATGCCTTCTTTGCCTCTGTCTTTACTGCTAAGGCGACCCGCCATGAACCGTAGGGCTCAAGTGGAAGAAATATAAATGGGCTAGAGGAAGACCTTCCGCGGGTTGAGAAGGATTGGGTTAGGGATCACTTAGGCAAACTGGCCACTCAAAAAAATCTATGGGCCCAGATGGGATGCACCCAAGAGTGCTGAGAGAATTGGCCGAGGTTATTGCTTAGCTTCTCTCCATCATCCTTGAGATGTCCTGGAGAGCAGGGGAGGTGCCCGAGGACTGGAAGAGAACCAGCATCACTCCAGTCTTCAAAAAGGGCCAGAGGGAGGAGCCGGGCAATTACAGGCCGGTCAGCCTCACTTCCGTCCCTGGAAAGGTGATGGAGCAGTTCATCCTAGAGAGAATCTCCAGGCATATGAAGGAGAAGAAGRTGTTGAGGAGCAGTCARCATGGATTCACCAAGGGGAAGTCATGTCTGACGAACCTCATAGCCTTCTATGATGGGGTGACAGGCTGGCTGGACGAGGGGAGAGCCGTGGATGCTGTCTACCTTGACTTCAGCAAGGCTTTTGACACCGTCTCCCATAATATCCTCATACGGAAGCTCCGGGACAGTGGACTAGATGAGTACACGGTGAGGTGGATCGAGGGCTGGCTGGATGGCAGAGCTCAGAGGGTGGTCATAAATGGGGCCGAGTCCAGTTGGAGGCCTGTGGCCAGTGGTGTCCCGCAGGGGTCAGTRCTGGGCCCRGTGCTGTTCAATTTTTTCATCAATGACCTGGAAAAGGGCACGGAGTGCACCCTGAGCAGGTTTGCAGATGACACCAAGCTGGATGGAGTGGTCGACACTCCGGAGGGCTGTGCTGCCATCCAGAGGGATCTGGACAGGTTGGAGAGTTGAGCAGAGAGGAAGCTCATGAGGTTCAATAAGGACAAGTGCAGGGTCCTGCACCTGGGCATGAATAACCCCAGGCATCAGTACAGATTAGGGGTTGACCTGMTGGAAAGCAGCTCCGAGGAGAGGGATCTGGGAGTCCTGGTTGACACTAAGTTAGCCATGAGTCAGTAGTGTGTCCTCCTGGCCAAGAAGGCCAATGGGATCCTGGCTGCATCAGGAGGAGTGTTGCCAGCAGGTCAAGGGAGGGGATCCTGCCCCCCTACTCAGCTCTGGTGAGGCCTCACCTGGAGTATTGGGTGCAGTTCTGGGCTCCCCAGTACAAGAGGGACGTGACGCTTCTGGAGAGGGTGCAGAGAAGATCAACTAAGATGATTAAGGGAATGGAACATCTCTTGTATGAGGAGAGGCTGAGTGAGCTGGGCCCGTTTTCTCTGGAGAAGAGAAGGCTGAGAGGGGATATGATTAACATGTATAAGTTCAGGAAGGGAGAATGCAAGGAGGAAGGGGACAAGCTGTTTTCATTGGTGGCCAGCGATAGGACAAGGGGAAATGGCCATAAGCTGGAGCACAGGAAGTTCCGTCTCCAGGTGAGGAGGAACTTCTTTACTGTGAGGGTGACAGAGCAGTGGAACAGGCTGCCCAGGGAGGTTGTGGAGTCTCCTTCTCTGGAGGCCTTCAAAACCTGCCTGGATGCCACCCTGTGCCACATGCTGTAGGTGTGCCTGCTTGAGTGGGAAGGTTGAGCTAGATGATCTGTAGAGGTCCCTTCCAACCTTGAGTATTCTGTGATTCTGCGATTCTGTGATTCTGCCTGGGACTGCCCTGCCAAGGCAAGGTGTATTTGCAGGTGCTGCAGTGGAGGACTGTCCCCTCAGGGTGCGAGGACACACTGGGGCGTGCGACATGAGGGGGAACAGACCTGGCTGCCTCTTCAGCTGTACCAAATGGACTCAGGGTTGTAATTCTCCTCCAGCTTCAGTTTCAGCTCTTACCATGTTGGCTGGTGTCTCTTTTTTGG